TATATTTTGTTATGTCGTTTTTTATAGCTTGCTTTACGGTATGGATTTTGCTCATTTTTGAAGGACGTATAGCGATCCATATTTGCTAACATCTACGTCATTTTGGTCTTTGGTGTATAGTTGTCTCATTAGCAATCATGCCACGTCTCCTTATTTTACATGATATAGCGAACTAGTTAGTAAATAAACACACCGTTATAAAGGGACCAAAGGATCATCACCGTCTATAAAACGATATTAAAAAAGGGAACGAAAAATCGTCTGCTTTGTCAGAAATTTCTGCAATATGAATTCAGTTTTTTTAAATTCTTTTTTTTTAAAGAAAAGAAAATCATCAAGATAGTACCGCCACATTCTATATGTCCCTATCCAAAGTCAGGAGCCTATAATTTTGTGGTTGTCGTTGGCTCATGTATGTCATACATGTATTGTTTTTCGTAAATTGAATTGTAATAAATTAGGCCGTTAGTATTCTCGTTTAAATTGTTTCAATTTTTTCAATTTTTTTTTATAGCTGACTATACGGTATGGGTTTTTCTCATTGTTGTAGGCCGTACGGTGACCTATAATTGTTTACTTCTACGTCATTTGGTGGAGAGTTGTCACATTGGCAATCATCATACCACATTTTTATATTTATATGAGTTATAGCAAATAATTTTGAGATCATATTTTTCAAAAGATTCTTTGGTTGAATAAAAAGACTTATGTTTAATAAGATTGTGTGAAGGTAAAGTGTAAAGAGTCGAAAAGTCATTACTGTCAACCGAATCAAAAGGACCATCAAAAGCACATTATTTATCTAAATCATTGACAGAGTTTTTTACAATCCAAAATGATTACTTCTATTATTTTTTATGCTTTTTGCAAAAATTAAAATAAATTCTTGAAACTTGTGAAAAGGACAAGAGGATTAGTTGTAAAACACTGATTAGAAGGCAGCCACCATGAAACGGTTTTTGACTAGTTTTTATTTTGTTTAGGTTTCCAATTCATAGTAGGGATCCTCGAATGTTCAGAAGAGATATTAAGCTGAGTTACGGTAATGATATGATTGTTTACTATTTGACCTTATTGGAGCGCAAGGCTTTGAATGCAGGAGAATGTATAAATTCTTTCTTGATAAGAACGTACGTCATACCACCACCACCCCATTGTTGGCTGCTTTCCCGCCGGTATTAACACAAATAACACTTGTGAGTACTACTTGGTTGTTGGTGTTTTGCGCCATTTTCAGCACTCTTGGCTATACCGTTGCGGCCGGTTTTTGTTTTTGGGGGAAGCCGGAGTTCACGGAGAGAACCACCGACTTTCAGCAGAAAAACTGGCAACGTTTAGTCAATTTAGATCGAAGTCGAACGTATCTGCCACGTTCGAACTCACAACCTCAGAGTTACTGGAAATTTTTTTATTCCTAGAAATGGGCGTATCATTAACCTTTTATTTATATCAACATTATTTTGGAAATGTGATATGCGAATACCCACATTATTTAGTAATTTGTTATCAGATTTCACCCGTGTACATATCTTTTTACAATACAATGAAAGAGCATATGATGACCTGATAACGCTCTTTCCAACTCATTTGTGATGAAAGACGATAGTTTGGTCATTTTTAAGAAAGTTTGTAACCTCTCGGTTTTGAACGATATTGCGGTCTCCTATTATAACATGGTCATAGAGATTATATCCAAACTACGATGTTTCACAGTCTCAAGTTGATTTCTTTTTTCGCTAATTTTGGTATACATGTGTATTCAATTTCGCGTAATCTCCGAAAAATCATCACAACAGCAATAACGAACTTAAGATATTTAAATGTGCATTCATTAAATCTTTATTCGTTTAAAAATATGAAAGAAAATATGCAAATACTAAAAATACAGCCGTCTGTTATCATGTTATCATCCGATTAAGTTATAAGTTACACAATAAAGCTGTCATATTTAGCTTTTATTCTTAATTGGTTTCTTGGTAGACACTGGTGTTGTTAAAACAGTTTAACAGTTCAATTGAGGTTATAGATCGTAAACAAAGTAAACATGTATGTACAGTTGTAAATTCCGTTGTTATTTGTTCAATGGTTTTATTTGCATTTAACCTGCATTTGTATTTCCGTGCATACATTTTCGCAAAAATATACCTACCGCGAAATTCTTGAAAATAAATAGGCAGCGAAAAAAAAGTATATATACAGTATACTTGATAAGTTAATAAATTCAATCCCTCTGTTGATATATTTTATTTTGAGCAAATGGAACGATATGATATTCAGATTTATCGACCAGAGGGAACAGCCCGTGGTGACAAAAAGTTGTAATAATACACGTATACTCACAGAGCGAACTGAAAAACGATATTGTATCACACTTTTTAAGAAAATTATATAAACTAACCTATTGGTAATTCGCCCAGTTTATTCCGTGCTATTCTACATTTTAACTTTACGAATGGCTAAAAGCATTTTTAATAAATCCGACTTACATGAAGTTTGTCATACGTAGTGCCGAAGGTCCTTAAAATCTTAAACAAATTTTAAACGAGAAAAAAATACACAAAGGCATATTTAAAGTCTTGTAGTAGAACATGACGTTCCGGAGGTTACCTACTACTTAAAAGGCATTCTGGTTTTCTAAAAATCTTCAGTAAGCATACTATATAGCAAATATAGGCCTCTGGCCTTTGTTAGTCTTGTATCATTTTTAATTTTAGTTTCTTGTGTATAATTTAGAGTTTAGTATGACGTCCATTATCACTGAACTAGTATACATTTTTGTTTAGGGGCAAGCTGAAGGGCGCCTCCGGGTGCGGGAGTTTCTCGCTGCATTGAAGACCCATTGGTGGCCTTCGGCTGTTGTCTGCTCTATGGTCGGGTTGTTGTCTCTTTGATACATTCCCCATTTCCATTCTCAATTTTAATCTACCCTTATATTGAAATACAAATTCATGGGCAAGTAAATTTGGACTCAAAATGATACAAATATATTTCTTAATCGGAAAAAAAGGTTCATTTATGTAACTTGATTAACACGTTGTAGTAAATAACAACATCAATAGCATTATGATTTGTCAGAGTATGACTAATTTTACATTTATTCGCAATGCTGATTGGTTGAATTGGTGGTGTGACACATTTTGTCATTCAAAACATTCACAAAAATGAGATTTTCTAATTTCACCGCCCCCCCCCCCAAAAAAAAATAGAACACGGATCATTTTTCTCTAAGAATCGATTGTGTACTGTTTCGATAATGTCTTTTGTCATAATTGCAAGATAAAAGATCATCGGTATATATTTTTTGCATGTATTTGTATTGGCTAAAAAGCTATCTGCGGCTTTCTGTCATCGATAATTGCATGTTTACACAACAATTTTATCTTATTTTACCTTCATCTCGGTAACTACCTCTAAAGCTTATAAACTTAAGAACACTTAAAAAACGGGTGACAGTATTTCTTTCCTCTTGAAAGTTTTGCTCTTTTCTCCAAAATATTGATATATAATAATTAATGTTTACCTCATACAAGTCATTATTCAAAAATAAGTTATAAATGGATGTTTTCCTTTGCATATTTCGATAATGCATATCAAAATTGACTTTGTGTCACAATTTTTGAGAAAAAAAAGCTATATGAGATCTCTTCTGTATCGTATGCCCTAAAAATCTACTTGAGACATCTTCTGTATCGTATGCCCTGAAAATCTACGTGAGATTTTCTCTGTATCGCATGCCCTAAAATCTACATGAGATCTCTTCTGTATCGTATGCCCTAAAAATCTACGTGAGATCTCTTCTGTATCGTATGCCCTAAAATCTACGTGAGATCTTATCTGTATCGTATGCCCTAAAAAACTACGTGAGATCAAATCTGTATCGTATGCCCTAAAAAATCGACGTGAGATCTCATCTGTATCGTATGCCCTAAAAATCTAATTGAGATATACTCTGTATCATATGTCCTTTAAATCTACGTGACATCTCTTCTGTATCATATGTCCTTTAAATCTACGTGAGATCTCCTCTGTATCGTATGCCCTTAAAATCGACTTGAGATTTCCTCTGTATCGTATGCCCTAAAAATCTACGCGAGATCTCCTTTGTATCGTATACACCAAAAACAACAGAACAGTCATCATAATATACAGCCAACTTTGCATGATTGAAAAAATAAAAGTAAATTTTCTTACAAATGTTCTTGTTTGTTTCTTCGAGTCAAATAAGTAAGTTTAACGAAAATGCAGGCGGTGTCCTTTTTCTGTGTCCGCTCCTCCTAATTGCTAAGATTGGGGGTAGTATGGTATAGTTGTTACCGCCAGTACATAAGATGGCTTGTTCTTATTATTTATATTTTTTTCAACTTTAATGCAATATGTTTCAAAAGCAATAGGATAACAAATAAATGCTGTTATAATGAATGATGTCGTTCTATTCATAATACAAGTTATTCTGGAATTTTGACAATAAGTTAGAATTTCTGAGAATCCAATATTTTATTGAAATCTTCAATCAGGATTGTCTTTATTGTATCTAAAAAAAAATGGATGTCTCACGTTCTAAATGGTGACATTTAGCTCTAATGAGTTTGAATATTTTATTATGAAGATAAATGATAATTTTAATAAATAGACAAAATGGGAAACAGAATCTATGATTTTTTCTGATAAATTTTATCATTGCAATTCAAAGAATTCTGCAATAACATTTTACAAAGATAACCTAATGAGTATTTTCGCTCCAATGGGAATTATTAATATAGCTAAGTAGTTTAGTCAGTACTTAGTCGATACATCAGCACTTACGGTTGTTATAATACCTTTAATGAAAGTGGTCATTTAAAACCAATTACAAAAATGTATACAAAAATAATATCTTATTAAAAATAAGTATACAGTGCATGAGCCCTTCGGTCAAGCAATGGCCTTAAAATCAATGTAAACCTTTTGTATAGTACTTACGTCAGTGGTTATAGACTATATAAGGGTGATTTAAATTAAAATTCGTCACATTTTACAAAATATCGTTATGAAGAAAAGTCTGTTAAAATTAATCGGTATTGTTTTATGGGCATCTAACTTGGTGGAGTTTTCGCATGGAGGTAAGGCTATAATTTATTGGATTGTATATTAAAACTTTAGAAAGCATAAAATAGATGCATAAAAGATAATGTTGCAAATAGACATGGTTTAACCTACAACTCATTACGCGTTAATTTCAACTTATTTTTTGTTACATATTTTTAAAAATGTAGAGAGGAAAAAAAGATTTTATGCATCTTAATTCAGGAAACGTGTTTTTCTGTTTTCAGTTATACCAACTAATCGTTTTTACGAATTTTTAAAACTAAAACAAAAATAAAAATAATTTAGTGTTAACTCCGTCTGTAATCAATTCCAAATAGTATATAAAGATAAGGTATGTGGTCAGAATTATCAAACAATAAACACATAATTCATAGCTTAGGAAAATGTTTTAAGCTGGAAAAAAAGAAATTTCAGGAAAATGTTTCAAGCTGGAAAAAAAGAAATTTCATCCATGCCTTTTAAATTATTCTGTAGCTCATATTTTGATATCCATTTGTTAATGTTTCAAGCTGGAAAAAAGAAATTTCATCCATGCCTTTTAAATTATTCTGTAGCTCATATTTTGATATCCATTTGTTAATAAGTAATTGGACTTCTCAGTTTAAACCATTAAATTATGCTTGATGAACAGGAAAATATTGCTAAAGCTACTGAGAAAAAAACAACATTGCCTTTGAAACCTGTCGGTGTTTTCTGTTCGTCACCGGTAATAGACATTAAAATATCGCATTAAAAATCGAACTTGGTCATATTTAAAAAAACGCAATATTTCTTGAAATAATAAGTGGATCTCTATTTTTTTTTATACTTCTTCTTTTTTTATGATTGACTTTATTCAGAATTCGTCTTTTATATGCACAACGTCCATTTAGGATTTAGATATTTTGAAGTCTTTTGATTTATAAATATAAATTTGAATATATGTGTTTGCTAATTCATCATAGACAGATCTCTTTTTAGTGAAACTTCTATAGGCACTGTCATGGTAGTCGAAGTTGTTCGAGGTTGCCCGATAATTGCTTTATTTCTTAAGATAGCGTTACATTGGTAAAAACCGCTACTATAAGAATGTCTACCCGGTATAGTTAAACAACTTACGAAAAGAGAAAACAATGTTCGTGGGGGTTTGCTGTTATATGTCGGTCTTCAATAGTTTGTATACGATGCAGATGCATTCATACATCTAAGTTTTTCGTGAGAGTAGAATAGAGAATGGAAACGGAGAATGTGTTAAAGAGACAACAACCTGAACAAAGAGCAGAAAACAACCCAATGCCACCAATGGGTCTTCAACGCAGCGGGCCCCTAAACAATAATGTATACTAGATCAGCGAAATGGACGCCACACTAAATTCCGAACTACAAAAGAACCAAAATAAAAAAGAAACACACAAGATTTACAAATGCTAGAGGTCCCTGACTTGGGACAGGCGGGGTTAAATATGTTTTGTGAGATCTCAACCCTACTTTTATGCTAATGAAATTAAAAATGAAAATAACACTGAAATCATAATTAATGTTGTATCAATACGTCCAAAGCTCTTCTCTGGGTGACCTTCTGCAGTAAGACTCAAACCCACAATTTTAAAACCCAAGCATGTATGAACATTTTAAAACCCAAGCATGTATGAACAATTTAATACGTGCGTAGCTAATGACCAAACGGAACCTAAAAAAGAATGTCAATTCCATCTAAGGTCAACTTTTCCGTTGGTAATTCGAACATTAGTTTCTCAATAGTCTCTAGCTTCAATAACTGCGAATTTAAGAAAGGTATTTTATAAATCATGTCAGCATCGAAGCACTGAACACTCAGGATATGCATTAAAATAAGCTTGGTTAATTTAAAGCATAAGCCATACATTTCATGTACCTATGTATGTTTTTTCTCTCATTCTGATCGAGTTAAAGACTATCCAATTAGTCTATTCGTAAAAGAATAAAATTTCTGTTAAAGACATTGAGCTGCATATATAAGAATACACGCTGACTGTTTATCTTAAACTAACGCATTAAATCTCGAAGAAACATTTTCAATCGAAGTTTCGTATTATTCACTTGAAAAATTAAAAAATTTAATCCGATTTGAATATTTGTAAAAATTACGATAAGTCTCCGTAGAAGGTAAGTGAACGCTCAAGCTCGAGCTCTCCGTAACCGTTTTTAAACCTTATGCTGACGGAGTTAGCCATTAAATGACCTTGCGATAATTAAGTTGTGATTCTATAGTCTGTGACAACTAAAATTTATAACTATTGTTTAAAATTAAATCTTTAGAAAAATATTATGCATATCTTGATACAAAGATGACTTAGAGTAGGTCTATCCTGTCAACATAACCTATAATATTTTGTCTTGCGATCACGATATTCTAAAGACAGATCAGGATCAACGAAGCTGATATGTATATGACCCAGAACGTGTATTAATATACATGCAATTGTTTAAGAATAAGTGTGATATTCTAAAACTTTCATTATATTTTGTTAATTAATTATTAAGTGTCTATTGAACTAAATATCTAATGATCCTATTAACAGGCCTGATACGAGTCTTTATATATTAACATATAAGTAACGATTGTATAATATGCACGAATACCTTTATACTTGTTTGATCTTAAAGCATGAAAATAATTTATGACATAAGATTTTAAAATGATACCATTACGTGGCTTATGGTAAACAAAATAACATCCACAAATGGTCAAATGCACGTTTACGCTCGTCTCTTCTGTAGTATAGCGTCTATCCGTCTGCTGTATCACAAACTCTTGAAAATTACCCCTTTAACAACTTAGAAATATTTGAATTTGCCTTGGAGTTCTGTATTTTTTTTATGCCTTTTTCCCTATAAAACTTTTATAAACGTAGTTATTTTGATTTTCTTTAATTAAGCGATTCTTCATCCTGTTACTTATGTTAGAACACCAATATCGTGCAAGGAAAACAAACCAATCGGTTAAGTGCATATGGTGACTTGTTTCGTTCACAATCACCAAGTATACTACATTTGTATAATTTTAAAACGGAAAAGAAAATAATAGGACCCTTAATATGAGGAAACATCCAATACCAGAACATGGCCAATACATAAAAAAACAACGGTTTTAAATTGTCGTTCTTCATCATGACTATTGCCAGGACGTCTCCAACAAAAAGGAGGTCACACTCTCCAACAAGATACAGACGGCCCTTAGCATCGGCTTCTGCAACCTGGGTGATTAACGTCCTCAACTACCCATGAGGGTCTCGCAGGGTCAGCATCGGCTGGTGAGCTGTTCTCTTGTGTATCTATCGATTTTCCCTGACTATGCCTTCTAAGATTCGAATATATAAGAGTACCGTATAAGTACAGAAGTAATCAATAAATATATTAATTCATGATATCATCCTATAAAATATATCATTTGCTTGCATCAAGATTTTATAACCATAACAAAATAAAACCAGTTCATGGCATCATCAACACTTTTATAAAAAAACATGACAAAAAATAAGGTTGAACACGAAAATTAATTTTAAACCACAAACATGCCTACACGGCGTTTTAAAATAGCATTGAAAGTGTATTCTCCGATAAAAGTTCGGTGTGATTAGACTTTGGATAAACAATGTGAAGTAAACGTCAATGAGACTGCAACCTCACTATAAAAATACACAAATGTTCACTTTGTTTTGTTCTTCGTTATTTTTAAATGCTTTGTCGTTCAATGTATTATCAAATACAAGCAGCACTTCAGAGCACAAAAGTGTCTGTATAAGTCAGAGAGCTTTAAAATGTCCTTGATATTTAACGTGTCGTTTTGTTGCTAAATGTTTATGTTAACTATTCCATCTGATATATAAGCAATGGCATTAATAGTAAACTATTTTCTTGTCTATTTCACCATTCTCAAGCAATCTGTTCCCAATAGTCCACATCTCATAGATACTCAACTTTTAACTTTTCACGCAGTGTTGAAGATAGACATATAAATGCGATATGGTTTCAGTCGAGATTTAAAGAATTTATAAGTTTCGAACTTAAATTGGTTACATGTCTTGCTTCTTCTGAAATAAGGTAATTAGGTAAGACCAAAGTCAATTGATCACATCAAACTTCAATTTAATGACAAACTGTAAAAATCCTTAAAAATCAAGTTATTAAAAACTGCAAGAATCTTTAATATAGCCTTTATAGTCGTAATAGTTTTCATTAGTTTGCATTTTACACAGTAAACAATGTTAAAAGTTTATAGAAGTTCAACTCTGTAAAGAACAAAGATGTGTTGTATACTATAAAAATTTAAAATGTAGGGGATCAATGTCTCTATATACCGTGCAATACAAAATTGTTTATCTAGCCTTATCGATTTAACAGATTATAATTGTTAAACATGGTAAAACACAATAAGACATTGGTATAAGTTAAGTTTGTAATATAACTGTGTTTACCCTCGGAAACAGAATACCGACCGTGTCCTATCAAAATGGTAAGGTCAATAAATGTTCCCCTAAACATCAATGGTTTGTATAGAAATACATGATGTCCTATATAATTAACCCTAGTTATCATTACTGAATCAGAAACTTGTATCTGTGCATGCCAATAGTAAACCATTTTAAACATATTTTAAAATTCAACATTTTTGTGAAGTCGGACTTATCTAAAACTCCATGTTCCTATTGCATACAAATTCAAAATATTTCAAAAAGGATACTTGTTATATATTTATTTTACGTATAACTGTGAGCCTTATAATTCTGTCTTTTACCATTTCTGTCTCAGTTTTACTTGTCGATTCTCTTTCTCGTTTTGAATATACATGTAATACTTGCCACTGGACGTTCAGTAAACAACAATTTCTCTTCCTTTTAAGAATTTTCTAGTTATAATTATGTAATTCCACTAAGTTTAATTTTATGACGTAAATTGCTAATTTTATAAAATAAATGAGTTTTCACCGGTCAATTTGATTTTTATTTTGGTCATGTTACGTCTGATAATTCAATGGCATATTACAAGAATAAATAATAGTTAATAGACACAAAAAAGACATATATATTATCAATAAATCTATTTTGTTTAACATGGGGATTTAATAATATAGTTATGATACAATCGTTAGTATATCATATTTAATAATGTTACTTTTAATAACTGTTGAATAACACAAGTTATATGATTTATATGTATAGCCAGGAACATATATATTAGATATACTGTTCCCAGGTATAGCGTAGCATTCGGTTGCAATATGTCTATTGGCAGTACGTTAGAAAACAAATTGGTGTTATCAGGGAACTAACTTTCACTTAACTGTTGGTCTCTCATACCCTGGTCCAAATATTTTATAATGATTATTTCTTTAAAGTATTAATATTTCTCTTTGATGGTCATATTATCAAAATTACGGTCTTACGTATTAAGTAACTGATTTCAATTATTTTTTCCAAATATAACTTTATATTTAAGACAATTTTTTCCGCATTGATACCAGGTAGCTATCATCGAGTGCAATTTTTAATATAACAATGAGCAAATCAATTGTATGTAAAAATAAGCTCAGGGAATATACGTACTTGCTAATCTAATTAAAGATGCTCATGAGTGTTCTTGTACTTATCCAGAGTCTTACACTTTAAAAATAAATCTTATCATTCATGCTATAAACTGTGGTTGAAATTAGTAACGCTTTCTCCGTACTATAAACAAATTGAAGTTCCAAAAGCCCCTTTTCAAATTCCCTTCACAATAAATTGAATTTTTAAAATAATAATTTTCAATTATCTGGTGTGAAATTAAACGTATAAAGTCATTAAACTTGAAGAGTGCAAATGTTATGTAAACATGGGTTCAAATAAACCTGCATTTTCATCCTGATCAATCCCTCCTTTTACTCGGCCTATTATATTGTAGCCCGAGTTAAATGATACGTGAAGGAAATCATTCTCTGGAACTATTACAAAACTATTAAATTGATACAGATATTTATGTAAAATAGTCTGAATATAAAAGAAACAACGGTCACGAACTCGCGTCAGTTTTACGTGTTTATATATCAGCTATTTTTATTTTGATTATTAGTTAGATAATTTAAATATTAACTAATATAAAGTATAATTTGTATGTTTTTATTAGATAAATTATCAATATATATCTACTTTGTCCTTGAATATGTTTTTCCAACTTTAATGTCTATTCAATGTGTTTTGCTGGGCATTCGTACTTCTTTGATCCCACTCGTGACGTATAAATTCGGTTGATTCTTAATCTTTTCTTATTCTGTATTGTGTGTGCGTATGTTTTTGTTTATTGTTTTTCTTTAAAAAAAAATCTTAAATAAAAGATGTTTTGTATTTTGTTTGTCTGTTTAAATCCATTGTTCCAATTTCTTCGTTATTTTTAAACGTTAAATTTGTTCATTGTATTATCAAATACATGCAGCACTTCAGAGCACAAACAGAAACCTATAAATGCATTTAATACCCATGCTTCTAGACTCAACCCTGTCGACACCTTTATCGGTCTAGAAGTTATCTCATAATATTGTATAGAGGGTGCATTCCCCTATAATATTTCATACTTCAGTTTGATAAGAGCGCATTACATTTTATGCATCATTCCGCTAATGAATATTAAAAAAAATGTCCAAAACAAAAATATTACAAATAAGGTCTGATTAAGAGTTTAACTGTATACGTTATTATAGTATAACAACAAAACTCTAATATTCTGACTATGACCGGAATCCTATGTCTTCTGTTATTATGCAAAATTATTTTAATTGGGAGTGATAGCTTTCAACTGAAAACCCCCACATTTAAATTGCCTCATAATACAGCAGTTATTTATACATCATTTCACATTGCTTTTTTTCAGCTACAACTATAACTGGAGTTTCGCCAAAATACGGAAGTAAAAATGGAGGCACTAGGATAACTATATCAGGAGCCGGTAGGTTTTTCTCCTTTAAGAAATCGGGTGATAAATCTTTGGTCGTCTTTATTAACTTTATTCAGCACTTATCTAACTAGGTGCATTTACATATTGCACAGAAATGTGTCTATTGTTTTATACGGTGTGGTGACATTTAGGTGGTTTTTTTGGTTTGTGTCTCATTGACGAATACCCCACGTCTCTTGATCCAATTGTTTACATTATATCAATCACTATTGTTTTTTTAAATACAAACTCGATAAAAAATGAATTAAATAATGTTTGATTACAGTTGAATAGATCGCTTGAAAAGAAATTAAATTAAACAAAATTATACAGGTTTAATTTTAAAGTCTACACAAATGAATCAAACGCAATTGTCCATACTGTTCTAATGAGAATATTTTAATTATATTTTTTATTTTGATTTTACTTCAGGGTTTGCAAATACCCAGTTTAACTTTGGAGCAGGAAATGAAAATCTTGGTAATAAAGTTAAGCTGATCCAAGGGACACATGAATTTGAATGCGATATACATGTGGATGGTTGCACGCCATCTCAGGCCACGTGCTACACAAGGTATTTACAAATTTTATTAGAAATGTGTGAGGTAAACAGTTCGTCTAAAAGGCTAGCCAAAAACAGTACTTTTAATATAGAAGTCAAATTGGTATTTTTTCCTCTCACATCAACGAATTCCGTATACGGAGGAGAGCCATTGCTTTTAAGACTGCATAAAAATACACAAGAACGTTATATTAGGGGTCTCATTGATCCCGGATCCCGCCTATTGTTTTGTCAGAATCCCGTATCCCGCTTATCATTGTAATAATAGCGCTTGTAATTTCACGTGTCCCGCCCGACTTCGTTTCCCGTTTTCACGCAAAATAATTTGACTTTCACGTGTCACGCTTACAAAATATCGGCAAATCCCGCATCACGCTTACACCCCAATGAGACCCACTATATTCTGGTTCCCCATTTGAAGTATAATGGTACTCTGTCAGATACACTTAGCCTTTTTGCATATATTGCATATTTTCACTTTCCTTAAAAGTTCTAGTCCTTAACTTCCCTTGTCGCAAGTCTATTCGATTATTGCTAATCCAAGGATTTTAATTATAAAAATCTTTGGTTAATCCAGACACATATAACACAGGATTAATTATTTTGTCATTTCATTCTAACTAATCCTTGTTAATAACAGATTTTAATTGTGTTTAATGTATTTATTTTAAGTCATTGATATGATCAGCAGTGAGCGCTATAATTGGCTCAGTAAAATATTTTGTATCTTGAAACTTGTCTCTGGCTAATCCTACCTCTAATAAATCCTATAATCCGCAAGCATAGATCACGTTACACAATAGAAATGTTATATTTTCGGTATCATAGTAAATGCCAACAATAGATGTTTCTTTAAAACGTAAAGGTGGTTGCTCAATAAATTTCAATTTTAATGATATTAAATATTCATATAATCATTTGTCGTCAAGATCAAAATCAAAAACTCAAAAGTTCAAGTTATATATTTTTACCTTGCATTGAAATAAAGCATAAATATGTCTGCTTTTAGACCTATGCCAGATGGTGAATATACCATCAGGGTCAGTGTAGATGGTGTAGATGTCCCGGATGCTAACCACTGTAGTGCAGATGACACAAAATGTACTTTCGTGGTAAGTTTAATTATTCACACAGTATTCAGTGCTCCGCTACTGACATATCTGATTTATTACTATAATATGCATATCATTTTTTTTCTGTTCGGATTCTGAAAGAAATTATGATCAGTAAGCCATGAAACTATTAAAGCGGGTTCCAAATTCATCAAGAAGAGTTTGCCTTAGATGATTTGACTACTGTCCTTTTTGTCATACAGCTTCTCAAGAATTTATTCATCTTTAGCTTCATAATGTTAAGTCCAAAGTTTGCGCGTTTTTGGAGCCAATGGATAAATTTTTAAAATAAAATAAGAGGATGTGATATGATTGCCAATGAAACAACTATCCATCAGAGAGGATGTGGTATGATTGCCAATGATACAATTATCCATCAGAGTTCAAATGACGAAGATAAAAGTAATCATAGGTCACCGTATGCCCTTCAACAATGAGAGCTTTGAAAACTAAGACTGGCCCCGACAATAAAGATGTGAAATAATTCAAACGAGAAAACTAACGACCAAATTTATACAATACAATTTACGGAAAACAAATATGACTGAAATGAACATCGGCAGCCACTGAATTACAAGCTCCTGACATGGGAAAGGCACATACAGAATTGCCGGGTTTCAGTGAAACATGTTTTAGCGCCCAACCGGGCTCATCGTATTATCAAATGGACTGGTAGCAATATTTTTCTATGCAGTAAAATAAGCAGAAAGAGTATATTGTATCAATCTCTAGAAGCCTAATTTCAACTCTTATGATAATGGTGACAAACTGGAATAAGCAAGACCAGAAACATATGAAAGACAAAAAAACAAAACAAAACAAAAAAAAACCGAAAATGCAGGTCATTCAAATTGATAGATTGCGAAACAGACAAAAAGAACTCATTTTTTTCCGAAAACAATAGTGCATTGGAACCATCTGGAAGAGAACATCGCATGCCAAAAAGACAGTTGAGAGTTTCACGGCTACCCTCCAATAGTTGGACTAACCAACGAGCCGCTCTCCATTCAGTGCACATATATCCGGTATCGGATCCTGCAATGTGTAAAATGCAGATACTGATACATTGAATGATCGATTGATGTTTAACGCCACTTTCAGCACTTTTGTGCAATTTCGTGGCGGTAAGTGTTTATTGGCGGAAGAAGCCGGAGTGCACGGAGAGACTGTGACCACCGACCTTCGGTAGGAAAATTAACACTCCTTGTCAATTAAGATTGAAGTCGAGCGCACCTGCCACGTGCAGGATTCGCGGAACCCACAACCTCAGTGTTGACAGGCCAGTGATACAGTAATGCGACTACTAAGACCACTCGGCGAGATACGATGCTAGCAAAACTAATATTTTACTGTATCGAAAGTGAACATAACTTTAAGATTGCTTTGTTCTTTTTGTTTTGTATATCTGATAATTACCGTCTATTTAGCTAGTTTCCAAAATTTCGAAGAAGATTTCCTCGTGGAGGGGGTTCAATAATTAAATGATAGGGGTGCCGCTGGGGTTCTGTTACCCAACCCTTTTCATATAATTTAGATTTTAAAAATGTATCATGACCTTTTCATATATTGCGTAGGTAAAAATGTTACCTTTTCCCATATTGGTTGGGTTTCGTGAAATCGAGAAAATATCACCTTTGCTCGGAGCTCAGATCTGAGGTTCAGGTTCCTTATGTAATGTTTACCTACGGCGAGACTTTCGTCTGTTAAAGAATCACAGGGCATTTCATATAACAAGTAATGGGAACTTTATCAAGTTGACCTTATCATATATTTTTGATAGTTTTCCCTACCTTTTAACCACCGGAGCTATATTCTTTGTTGTATTAATTGCGCACATCACACTATTCACATGCAAACCAGTCTTCGTTATTAGATGTCCAGTGGTCTATTTGACAATTTCATCAGACAGCGACTGCCATAAACTCCAAGAAGACCTGGACAAACTGGCAAAAATGGAAGAACTCTGGAAAATGGAGTTCCATCCTGAAAAATGTAGTGTCCTCACAGTTACAAAAAAGAAAAAGCCAACCAAGTGGGACTATAAACTCCACGGCCATACTCTGGTGCATGAAACATCAACTAAATACCTAGGCTGCACCATCGCAAATGATCTAGATTGGGGAGAACATATAAACAACATCACAGGAAAAGCCAGCCGAAGCCTTGGTTTCCTACATCGAAACCTCCACATTAGCTCAAAATCCATCAAAGAGCATGCCTATAAAATATTAGTAAGACCGCAAATGGAATACGCCACGACAGTATGGGACCCGTACCAGCAAAACCACATAGATAAAATTGAAAAGGTACAAAGAAGAGCTGCACGATATGTAACCAGCAGACAAAGAAATAGATCAAGTGTCAGCAACATGATAAATGAATTAGGATGGAAAAGCTTACAAACAAGACGAAAAGAAGCACGACTCATCATGTGTTACAAAATAACAAACGACCTTGTAGCCATAGACAAGAATAAATATCTACAAAAACCAACAAGAAGCTCAAACCGGAAAGGACAACATACTTACCTATTACAGCCAGCCACCAAAGACTGTAGATAATGGTCCTTCTTCATAAACACCGTCAAGGATTAGAACAAACTGCCACCAGATACCGCCACAGCAAAGTCTCTTGAGATATTCAAGTCTCAAGTCACCAAAACCACAAACTAAATCAACAGAACAATTTGTTTTTATCCTGTTTTTAACCTGTTTTTAATCATGCGCAACTTGCCAGAATATTCATCATGTTGAATGTGGGCAGTATTTGGAAGAAGGAGTATGGATTTTGACGAGTAATGAAGTTGAAGTATTCACATATTTTAAAGCTGGAAAACTGTGACCTATTGCAGCCCTTAATTGTATATAGTAAGTGCCCCTCCTCCCCCGAGAAATTTTCCCGCTGATTAACCCGAATAATTTAGTCGTTATATTCCGCTGATCAACTATTACTTCATTAACGAGTATCGCAAGTAGATACGGGGAGGGACTGAATTATTCGGGTTATCCGCTGATAAAACTAAATACGGAATTATTTTTTTCGTATTTGACTCTTAATTTATACTCAATTTTCCGCTTCCTGATAAGTTGTCGGAAAGAAAAATACAAAAAGCAATAATTTTTCATCTTCAAAGTTCGTCTTTGGTGAGCACACGCATTATCACATTAGTATGTATTGTTATAAAGGACATGGACATTGAGCTAAAAGCTTTAGGCCCATCGCGCAATTACATGTGCGAATTGTGTTCTAGTTCTACGGGAGCGTCTTTTTACCACAGAATACCACAGAACCAAAAATATACCACCAAACACCAAAATTATAAATACTTCAGAAATTATATTATTGTTATTGTTAATTCTTTTTATAATTTGACATTTATTATTCAAATAAATTTAATTTTTCTATTTAGGGTCCACTCACTATCGCTACGCCCCAAACTGAATTGGCCTATTACTGGGTCTATACCAAAAACACCTACCGGTATTAAAACAATTGTAATTCTGGGGTATTTATCGTTGTAGTTGTCATTTTTGTTTAATTTTATGTAAAGAGTTGTTACAATATGAATAAATACAAGTATATTATTAAATATTGAATAATAGTCCATGGAAAACGTTCTCTGACAACACTAGTGGCAACTCAGATGGACATCACAAACTAGTACATTAGTTTGGCTTTTGAAACACTGAATAGATTCTTGATACACTTGATGCAGTTCAAAACCAAATACTGTCGGCAATTCAGATGAAACATTGTATACACATACTTTACTTGAGATGAAATAAAAGTCATAGGACAATATTTCAGATTTTTAAATAATTTTGTATGCATTTAGAAATAGTTTAACTGCATCTAAATAATTAAAAACTAGCATATGAAGCATTACTATATAGATTCTATATTTTGAGTCCAAAATGATGATCTGAGCGAGTTCACTGGCACATTAAAAGAACCAAAATTTAATTAGATTATCTAATTTTGACACTCGTCGTAATCACCAATTCATCAAGCCAATTAACATGTCATTTAGTTTTCACACCTCATGAGACATCAAATACATTTAATTGGGTGTCTTCCTGCTATTCCTTCATTTTGAAAATAAATATTCCTTCTATTCCAATCTTTCAAAATTAATGGCAATGCTTAATTCGACTATGGTGCGGTTTGAACAATATGAGTTTAATAATCGGTTAAACAGAAAAGTTTTCATATGGACAGACATTATGAGTAAAAAACACAAGTGTATAAAAAATTGGAATTTTTATGTAACGAAAACATTTTCTGAGTGTAATGCAGTATACGTTCATAGTACTTCAGTTGTCAATACTATTATATATAAAATATTTAGTAAATATGTTGAACAGTGGCAATGCAATTTACAGCCAGAGAAAGCTTTATCTGGTAAAGGTGGTAACAAACTTCGAAAATATAATTTATTTAAGAACAGTTTTGAAACGGAAACTTATTGTGCAATTCCAATGTCATTTTCACAAAGGAGTTCTTTTGTCAAAATTCGATGTTGTGTAGCACCACTAAGAACCGAAACAGGGAGATTTGAAAAATTACTTTTAGAGGAGCGAGTCTGTGATAGTTGTAAGGATATTTTAGAAGATGAAGCTCATGTTATTTTATCGTGTCCTTTATATGACGATTTTAGAAAAAAATAATTTGATGAAGCAACACATTTTAATAGTGATTTTATGTCTTTTGATGATAAACAGAAATTAGTGTTTTTATTTACAGATGTCTATATGATAAGTAGCTGTGCCAAAGCCTTTTGTTAGAACTTTTTTAATATTTTCAAACTGTACATTGATGAAAACTAACTCGTTAGGTTTTATAGATATTTACCTGAAGTTAATTAGCATTATGTTTTGACAATCTAATCTGATGAATCCCTTGTTTATTCAACTATTCCTTCTATTCCTATATGGATTTCTTACAAATGACATACAAGATTTTAGGAGGAATAAACCATTTAATTGAATTAAACCTTGCATAATAAGATGGCAACTAGAATTCAATCAATTGACAATTTTGTAAATAGTTGATTATTTTAAAATTTATTAACAGAATTGGGAGAACAATCTTAATCGTAAAAGTGTAATTGGCGCCAGGAAAATTCATCATAACTTTTTTTTTATAGAAAAACATTTATTTATAGAAAATCATTTTTTTTATAGAAAAACTTTTTTTTTACAATAAATTGTTTTTAAAAATTTTTTATGAAATATAGTTTAGTATTTCAAAGGTCTCGAAATATAAAAAAAATCTACCTAATAACCTAATAACCAAAAAAGTTTTGATCATTAAAGAAATTTATATCTCATCCGGTCAATCGTCCTGTCATTTGTGTAGCCCGAATTATAAAAATAATATAAATAATTCTGAATTATTAGTTTTGCATTTTGTAAAGTAATTCAATGTTCTGTGGTATATTTTAGTAGTTTTATTGTATTTTGTGTAGTTCTGTGGTAAATTTTGGGTGTTCTGTGGTATTCTGTGGTGTTCTGTGGTAAAAAGACGCTCCGCTAGTTCTACTGAACCGCACAAAACACAAGCCCCTGGCTAGTGCTAGTTACACTTATTACTGTTCTTGCATCTCCCATAACAGCTAACTGAAATCAACATATTTATTTAACAAGGACAAACAAATAGTAATGACGTATTTCTTTGTCAACAATTTATTGTGTAGTATATAAACAATATCTGTTATCTGTCCATGCTGTCTCACAAAATTATTTGACACAAATAAATTTCATCTCATGATCTGGCCTCCCATTTTACCAGTTTATATCCTTGTTCAAATAATTTTATATTCCCAGATATTACATGCTAATTCCATGTTCATTGATCTGTGTGCTTTTTTATGACATGGGCCAGGAATTTTCTTTCACACGATTTTTTGGTCATTTTTTAGGACCAGAAAGTCAAAGCTATAATTTTTTAATTTCAAACTGTCAAATTTATACCGAACGTCATACCATAAATGAACCTCTATCCTCCAGACCCTGTGTAATTATAAAAAGTGATCAGTAATGATTACTACATTTTATTACCATTCTACAATGCTACATGTTTTCATCCAGTTAAACAGTACCACAGTTTATGAAATTATCACCCATGCATTCTAAATATTTTTGAAAACTTTTGTAATCAATTTACAATGAACTTATTTTTAGACAAAGAATTGTCTGTTGTGTCTGATTAAAATATTGTTACTTTCTTGAAGCTTTTCTGTGACAAATCAATTTAAAGTCTGGTCATCCAATTTTACAGGAATTTGATATAGATTTTTCCTGGAATAGTTAGATAAAGAAATTAAATGATAATTCTGAAAAATGTCTGTGGTGACAATGGATTTTAAAAAATTGGCTATCAGACCAAGACAGGTTAATTTGGCGATGCAGTCATTTGAGGATATTTTAGATTAAAAGGACATAGCCTATAGATGATAGGATTGGTTAAGAATGATGTTTTGTCAATTACCAATAATTGATTATTTACATATATCCATGGGATGTTTTGGCAGCATAAACCTTTGTTAATAATTTTGATGTATGTGAGGTCTCAGTAGAACATTTATAATTACCTGTCCTGGTTTGAAACCAAATTGTAACATGTTATAACAAGTTGTTACACAGTACACTAAAAATATACATTTTCTTTTTTCAGGTAAGATGGGGAAACACACCCTACATCCAAAAAATAGAACCTACCTCAGGGGTACCAGGTAAGTGAAATGTTATTTTTAAATAAAAGTGATAAAATGTTTCATCTGAAATACTTTTTCAAAATATTTGTTTGGACAATTAAAGTTAAAATAACAATTTTTAAGAAAGAAATTTTCTTTTGAAACATAGCTTGCATATTGAGTAAATATTGATACAAATAAGCCCTTCTAATGAAAACTTGAGAGCAGAGATTTAAACTTAAGTTAATAGTACGTCATGACATCATTGACACAGTTTTGCTTTGATTACAGTTATGTAAGGTTCTGTTTCAAGAAAATCTGGTTGAAAACCTCCTTGTGTACAAAGGATGTTGACTTTATTTTCATGGAGTAAATTAGTAATATTTTGCATTCATACATGTTTACTTGTGTTAAATTGTGTTTAATTGTGTTTCACTGCTATTAAAATAAATGTAATTTTCTGTTATTCTGTTATATTCCAACTATTTTCATTAAATCTGTCATTATACAGCATACACATGTATACCCCTTTTCATATGATGTAATTTAATTAATGTTTAATATCTAGTGGCAATGTTACATGCACAAATGTATATAAGTCTAAATTGAAAACAACGTTCAAACCTATGATTGCATTGTATAAAAATCGCAATTTTTATACTACGTGTGCATGCAAAACAAATTTCTTGGTAGAGGGGTCAAAATACAGCACAAACAACATTTTCCAAAAGACCAAAAAAGTGAAAAAGTATATTTTAACAAAACGCATTTGACTAGCAGGTCGAACAACAGATGTTCTTAAACCCTGCTGACTGCCATGGCAATTGCCAAATATATATATATATATATATAGGACAATTGAAATACAATTAAAATATACACCTGTTTCTTCCTAGGGATATGATTTAGTATTGATAATTTTTTTGAATATTTCAGGAACATTGGTAAAAATTACTGGAAATATAATGACCACAAGATATGGAAGTAATACTCTTACCAGTACAAATGGCAAAGAAAACAAAATACTTAGGTAAAAATTTTGAATCAAGAAAATACCCTATCAAGCAGAAGTCAATGCATAGATTTTGATCTAGCCATATATCCATGATTCCATCATAGATTCAATGTGTACTGGCATAAAATATCTGAACACACTCCACAGGTGTGTTTTGAAGTGACATTTTTTGGACAATTAATGACTTCCTTTATCCACACTCTCTATGTATGAAAGTTGACAGTTGCTAATCAGACATAGGGTGACCTACCATATATTGATTCCTTTACTGTTCAGCCATTTTCTATCCTAATAATCCCAAATAAATGACTGATTAAAGAACTATTTTATACTTATTTATTAGTAACCCCTCTACAAACATAGTTTTTATGTTATCATCCCGCCCATTGGTCTGTCTGTTGCAACTCCTCCTTAACGGCTTGTCAGATATTTGATAAAACTCCTCCTAAAGGGCTAGTCAGATATTTAATAAAACTCCCCCTGAACGGCTAGTCAGATATTTGATAAAACTCCTCCTGAACGGCTAGTCAGATATTTGATAAAACTCTTCCTGAACGGCTAGTCAGATATTTGATAATCTCCTCCTGAACACACACCCCCTAAACGGCTAGTCAAATATTTGATAACACTCCCCTTGAACGGCTAGTCAGATTTTTTTATAACACTTTTAGCGATTGTAGAACACTACCCAGAAAACTTATCATGGTCCAACATGTTAAAGGGGAGATAATCCAATTTACTTAATTGAAATATACTAATAGTATTGCAAAAAGGGGGGGAGGGGGATCATCCTTTTGTGAGTTCACTTAGTTCTAGTTTAAATTATTACATGAGGTACTAACAATACTTAATGCTGTCTGAGGGATTAAAAAATTGTAAAATATTGCTGTCCCTAAACTCTATTAAATAAAATGTTTAGCATAAATTTCTTGGTAGCTTTATAAGGGATATCTTTGATAAATGGTTAAGATATTTTAATGTTTTTCTGTAGACCATAACCTGTACAGTTGACCTGATGCAATATATGTATACTTAATTTTCCAATATTGTTCAGGAAATCAGGAAAATTTAACATATATTTTGTATTTTAAAAGCTTTTAGAAAATATACAAGTTTTTCAGAATATCTCATAATATGCATAATTTTTCATAAACAATTTCTGATTGTGGTATTTTATTTGAATTATATATTTTTAAATTTCTAAATGTTCACAAAAAAAGTTTTAAAACTTAATCCAGCATATTACACTGAAAAATTAACCAGCTGCATTCATGTAGTTTTAGATAGCATGAGTTACTTCCAATGACTGTGGATAGAGAGAAAGTTTAGTTATTATTATGAATAAGCACTTTTTGTGGATGATAGTAGTTATAATAGTAATCTTATTTTGTATCTTTTCAGAGTTTACATCAATGGTCAGACTTGTGATCCCAAAGACACAGTTACAGATACATTGTAAGAGGAAAACATAGAACTATTTAATCTTATGTTAGAAATTTTATGAACAACACTTTTTATTTAAAACTCTATCGATAAAATAGAAAAAAGTGCAAATCTGTCTTATAAAGACACTTATTCTTAGTCATGTAATTCTTTTATATATATATTCTACCATTGCATTGAGTGTGATATGATATTTCTCCACTCAAGACACTTATGACTTCACAAAAAAAGGGGACAATGCTTGATTATGTCACATATAAAGAACACAGCTTTTTGCAGATCATTGAAAGAATGACTACATATCACAAATAAATCATTAGAGTAAAAGACGCATGTGATACGATATTTCTCGACTCTTGACAGTTGAATTTTAAATATTTTGTAAGCTCAGCAAGCCTCGAATTTTGGATATAAAAATTTAACTCATGAGTGTTCAAATTTAATTTGAATTCTGTTGTTCTATAGATGTGAATTTAGCTTTGAATTAAGAATAAAAAGACCTAATTACATGACAACCCAACAGCAGAATTGACAATTTACACAAATAGATTATCAGATGAGTTGGCTTTGCACTTACATGACCTATGGTATTATTTAAGTAAAGCTCATTTCTGTATCATAAAATTATGTGTTTATTTTTACAGCTATGGCCTTGCATTGGAGCCTTCCGATGGTGTTAATGGTTACATAACATGTAAAATGGGTGGTTCTTATGTGGGTAACCAGAACATCAGTATCATTATAGACTTTGAATATGGAAGGTATGTAGATAGACCTGTAATGTGTAGATAAGTTAGTTAGTTACAGAGGATTTATTATTATTGCAAATTTTCGTGGATAAAGGTGTTCAACCACAATTTCAACGTTTAACAAGTACAAATTTTCTATGGATTGTATGCAGTCTTTGGCAAAGCCACACAATCAAATATCCACCAAAATATATTTTTTTCTTAATCCACAAAAATTGGTACCTACGAAAACAAATGAATTCACAGTATGTCTTTTGTGACAAGGGAGATAATTTCATTCTAATTTACAAGAAAATGAAAAATGTTAGTTACTGTGGATTCCTTATTATTAGCAGGAAAAAATTTTCTTGGATTTGATGGGTAAGGTATAAAGGTGGACCATGAAGTTTAAAAATGTTCTAGGAAGTACCTATTTTCTATAAGATTGCAGACTTTGGCAAAGCCAGGAAATCTAATATTCATGAAAATTTTATTTTTTCCTCAATCCACAAAAAATTGCAACCCAGGAAAAATAAATTAATCCACGTATGTCTTTTGTTATAATAAAATGAAAAATTAAAATGATAATGGAAATAAATGAGAAAGGTAAATATACAAACAAAAGTAGAAATTATTTGACAGTGAATGTTAATGAATAAAATCTCAATCTTCACTTTACTTTAATACAGGTCTTATGCTATGTTACCTACAGTATTACTACGCAGTGATGGAAAACTTGCAATGTTACAAACCTATGCAGGTATGTATGATTAAAATAGAGAAATTTTGTTATGTTAGGGTTTTAAAATAAAATCAGTTCTAGTTCTGTAAATGCATATCTTGATGATTTCCAAATTTTTGCTGAAGAGCACTTTCATCAGAATTACACATTAGTCTGTGAATTTGACCCCATTTCATATTACAGCTGAACAGAAATTCTTTGTATATTACACATCTTTGACAAATAATGCTCAATAATAACCTCAATGAAAGTCTGGATTAGGAGTGTGAAATATTATGTGAAGTCAGTTTTGAATGTAGCTTAATAGATTTATATTGTGTTGTATTTCAATATTTGTGTGACATCTGATGGAAAAATAAATGTAATCATTGAAAATGTTCAAAACTACATTTTTATACATGTCAGATTGGGAAAAATGGTAGGTTCATGTTCTATCCAAGTTTACCCGTTCATTTCAGAGGTGAATTCCGTATCTCCAGCTGAGGGAAGTACCAATGGAGGAACAGTTTTAACAATAACAGGAAACAATTTTGATGATACTGATGCCCCTGTTGATGTTAAAGTTGGAGGTTTGAAGAAAACAAGACTTAAAAACAAATCATAAACAATGTTATCTTGAATTCATAAGGAAAAATAAGATTTCTTATTCTTTTCAAATATTAGATGGATAATATTTATACCCCCACTTTAAAAAAGTGGGGGTATACTGTTTTACCTCTGTCTGTCCGTCAGTCCATCCGTCAGTCCGTCCGTCCGTCCAATGAATATTTTTTGTCGCATCTTTCTCAGGAACTACATAAGGATTTCTGAAATTTGGTTTCAGGTTTTATATGAGTCAGCTATACTGTGTGATGTGTTTTCAGATTCATCACTCAACAACTTCCTGTTTACCTTATACCTTTAGTGGGGCAGGGGGAATCATTAGTGAGCAGTTCCTCACAGATTCACTTATTGACACTGAATTATCTATAAAAAAATATTGTTTTAAAGAATGATTAAAATGTATTTATTCCTTTCAGGTATATGTTTGATGGGAAACTCAAAATTCTTTTTAAATGAATAGTGTGTTGACCCTGAAAGATGCATACTAACTGATACCAATTTTACTGCACCAAATGCACATTTTGACAATAAATATCTCTTCAGTGATGCTTCAGTCCAAAATATTTGAAAATCCAAAACTTATTAAAAAATTGTAAGTGCTGATAAAACCAAAAAAAGGAAAAAAGTATAGCCAAAGCCAGGCAAGAAATCAAATCTTTTCATAACATTTCTTTATTATTTTAGCTAAAAACACACATTATGAGATATGCTCAACAAAAGCATCTTAAGAAATACTGAAGAAAACATATTACTGGTAAAACAAATGTTGAAGAAACACATTCTAAGACAATTGCTGACTAAATATGATGTTATAGGTATATAATGCTGAAGAAATCAATGTAATGAGGTACCATAAAAACAATGATGGACTTTATTTTTTTTATACATGTCTCCTCACAATAGTGTTAGTCAGTGAACTGTGTGCTAGTATTTCTACAAAATGAGTCCATGTAATGGCTAAGGATAATTTCTACTCAGTCTAGTATATTTTGTTTTAGGTGAAACATGCACAGTTACAACCATGACAGACACAGAGATACAATGTACAACACCGAATCAACCAGCTGCTCAGGATTCATATGCAGGTATGTTTCTATGTTGTTCTACAGTATCAACTTTCAATATGAAATAAGGAGAAGTGGTATGGTTGATAATGATACAACTGTCAAACTCAGTCCTAATGCACATTTATGCAACTATAGATCATAGTATGGCCTTCAACAATGAGCAATATACTTGTATTGTGATTTAATAATACATCTGTCACAGTTTTTTTATGACTACTTTTGAGAAAGTGAAAAATGCTGTGAGAAATATTATTATAATGTCTTTGAATTATTTTAGGTGGCCGTGGATTATTTGCAGAGCAGTGGACACAAACCTCTATTGATTTTGCAGACAGAGCAAATATTTTTGGTTTGACTAGTTCAGCGGCAGATTACGTCTCCTCCGACATTGACAGCAGTTCATTTGTTACAGCTAACAAATCTGGTGCTAATGTATTGAGACTGACAGGTTATTTTGTCCCTAGTATTACAGCACCATACAGATTTCTAATCAAAGCCGATGGTTATGCTTCCCTAAATTTCAGTGCAGCTGGACCACCGGCTGACCAGGTAATATATGTTTTATACTAACATTTGTTATGCCCCAGCCATAGGCGACGAGGGCATTAAGTGTTAGCCTTGACAGTTCGTCCTTCCGTCCGTCCCAATTCTTTTATTTCTAAAATGTTTTGTAAAAGATATTAATTATTACACCCTTACTTCAAAGAAGTGGGTAAACAGGTTTACTGTTGTGCATCTGCCTGTGCCTTTGATTTACTACGATTTGTTTGCAGAAAACTTGGATGTGAAAAGTGTCATGCACATGTATGAAATTTTCTTCAAATTATTCTCAGCAGCTACAACTCATACCTTCTGTTATGGTATAACTAGTGAAAAACATCTCACAGTACATCTTGTTTTATTAATCTTTACCTATAGGTATATGTAGAAATGTAAGAAAAGCAAAACCATAAAATACTTTCCACTAAAGAACATATGATATTGAAAACACTAATGAAACAAATACTTACAGGTGCCGTCTTCAGACTTATAAAGTGCTATCTTTTGATATCTTGGTTAGATATATCACAGTATAAGAAGCATGATTTCTGTATCATTAGATTAAGAACTATGAGCTCGCTCTTAGTAGCTGCAAGCTTTCTATAAATTGGTATACATATCTTATTACATGTTTTTGTTGTCTGTAATGTAATGTCAAAACAATTGGACAGTTTTATTCTGCATTTAAAGTTCAAGAAATAAGGTTGTATTGTCTGCACTTTTTAAATTGTCCCATATTTTCTGCTCAAAAAATGTTATTTGTTCAAAAGTTGTTAAATGCTCAAAAGTTGTTTTTTGCTTTGCTCAAAAGTTGTTATTTGCTCAAAAGTTGTTATTTACTCAAAAGTTTTTATTTGCTCAAAAGTTGTTATTTGCTCAAAAGTTGTTATTTACTCAAAAGTTGTTATTTGTTCAAAAGTTGTTATTTGTTCAAAAGTTGTTATTTTAGACTATATCTGTAAGTATTCCTTAATCACTGACATCATTAACCAGAATTTATTACACACAATGACTATCATATGTGCCTTAGTTTTGTCCACTGTAATATTGTAGAAAACAGCTTTTTTTGTACGACAGCATGGATTGCTAAAATTTATTTATTATTTTAGACTGAAGTAGCCAGATGTGAAAGTGCTGCTGAAGATTACTGGACACATAATGGACAAACCTCTCCTGAATATGATTTAGTTGCAGGAAACAAGTATGTTTGTTTTATCAGGCAAAATTAAAAAAAATCTCTTCTTAGGCCTAATTGTATAATTTAACCTTTAGTTCTTTTTATTGGAAGAAAAGTAAAAAGAAAAAAGAAAAATTGAAGCATACTGATTCTTATTTTTGGTTGTAACCTTTTAAGCCATTATATACCTCTTGTAAGATTTTTTAAATCTTTAACATAGTTTTTATGTCCCATCAACTGATATGTGGGAGACATACTAATTAGGGCCCCGCCAAATGGCGGCCGCCCTATAGTGATCAGGCTGTCTGTCCGTCCGTCCGTCCGTCCATCCGTCCGTAACAAAACGTGTCCGCTCTATATCTAGAGAACTGTTATGATTTCAAAGTTTATACTTGACATGTATATTAACCAACACCAGAGGGTGTGTCATAATGTATGTTCAACTTCCTTGGTGAAAGGTCAAGGTCAATAGTTGACAACCCCATGTCCTATGGTAAAGATCGTGTCCGCTCTATATCTTGAGAACCGTTATGATTTCAAAGTTTATACTTGATATGTATATTACCCAACACCAGAGGGTGTGTCATAATGTATGTACAACTTCCTAGGTCAAAGGTCAAGGTCAAAAACTTTGGTTTTAGTTGACAACCCCATGTCCTATGGTAAAGATCGTGTCCGCTCTATATCTTGAGAACCATTATGAGTTCAAAGTTTATACTTAATATGCATATAAACCAACACCAGAGGGTGTGTCATAATTTATGTACAACTTCCTAGGTCAAAGGTCAAGGTCAAAAACTTTGGTTTCATTTGACAACCCCATATCCAATGATAAAGATACAAATTTTTTACCACACATTATTCACAGTGGGGCCCACAGAGATGGCTCCCATCTCAATGATATCTAGTTTGTCCTGTTTGTGTGTCACGAAAGTTTGACATTACAAAATCTATAGTTTTCTTGGGGAAAGAAAGAAACTTGACAGAATTATTTCCTATCAAATATAGTTGTGCACCTATTTTATTTTTTAATCAGATTTATTTATGAAGTTTCTTAGTATACATGTGTCAATATTAAAATCTCCTACAGTTTGATAGGACTGGCTCATAACATGTGAACATATACATTTCAAAGTTCCATCTAGATCAAATGATTAATTTCTAAAAGATTCTGCCTTTAACACATTCAAGTAAAATATTAGTTGTCAGTTGGACAGCTGATGTAAAATACTGCATTATTGAGTTTTCTGAAAAATGTTCTATAAAGTTTGATTGATTGATGGTTCTTCATCTACTTCCTATTATAGATACTACATGACAGTCCTGGCTGGAAATACCAATGCTCTTGATAGTGTTAAAGTTGCAGCCAGATCTCCAATATCACCAGTAACTGCTAGTATGAGTGGATCAGCCTTCCAGGAAATACAAAATATCATTCTCAACTCTACTAAAACTGATGAAGTACAGGTAAAATATCATTCTCAACTCTACTAAAACTGATGAAGTACAGGTAAAATATCATTCTCAACTCTACTAAAACTGATGATGTACAGGTAAAATATCATTCTCAACTCTACTAAAACTGATGAAGTACAGGTAAAATATCATTCTCAACTCTACTAAAACTGATGAAGTACAGGTAAAATATCATTCTCAACTCTACTAAAACTGATGAAGTACAGGTAAAATATCATTCTTAACTCTACTAAAACTGATGAAGTACAGGTAAAATATCATTCTCAACTCCACTAAAACTGATGAAGTACAGGTAAAATATCATTCTTAACTCTACTAAAACTGATGAAGTACAGGTAATGAGATTAAAGGTATTCATATCCCCATCAAAAGGAGGCAACTCCACTAAAACTGATGAAGTACACGTAAAATATCATTCTTAACTTCACTAAAACAGATGAAGTACAGTCCCTCTTTTGTTAGAAGATACTGCATAGTATGACTTCATTTTAGGTCCACACATTGAAAATGTAATGGTGATGAGTTTTAATGTGTGAGTACTTTTCAGATCAGTCAGAAATCTAATTTCCTTGAGCCAATACTTGTAAATTCCACCAACTGCCTTTCATGCTAAATTGTATATTAGGAGGTTTCTTATTTCATGTGTTTTGTTTTTTAAATGAAGGTTGTTTTATGATTAAGTAATGATCAGTATAAATTGTTACATTTTGTAGGAGATAACAATTAGTGGCTTTGATGCATCATCAACTTCTAAATCCGAAGTACAGACCGTATCTATTACAGATATTGCTCAGCAAAACTTGGATGCTAAATATCGCTTAGGATTGGATGGAGTCTTTACAGGTAATATCAATAGTAAGGGAAGAAAGGATTTGTGGAGGATTTTGTTTTTATAAGATATTACTGTTCTTCATACTACAGTCGATTCCACTTAATTGCATATCGCTTAATAGCATAATTCGGTTAATTGCATACTTTTCTCCTGCACAAAACCATTTCCCATTCATCTAATGTTAAATTGTCCGGTTATATGCATAGCCTTACAAGTGGCCTTTCGGTTAATTGCATAGAAAATATTCGCCAGCTAGATATGCTTAGTTAAAACTGACGAGATTTTTGACCGGAAACGGCAATTTGATAAGTATATTTTTCATGAATGCATCATAATTTTCGTTATTATTTCATATTTACTTTTGTGTTATCTAAATAAAGTTTTAAAACAGTTTCTTTCGTGTTTATATGATTATAAAATAAGCCTCGATGTGTACACAGGTAAAGTTTCCCATGTTCTATTTTAAGCCTCGAGGTCATAAAAATGTCAAACAGGTGATTGTTGTAAAAACACGTCCAATCTATCTCAAAAGGTGTTAATTATTGATTGGATTTCAAACATTGTTCATAGATTACATTTGGGGTGAATTTTAAAAACAATAACCCCTGTTAATTATCGATCATTATCCAATGTGTACTCTCGTAATTGTGGCTTGGGGTGATCTACACTTATGTTAAATATTACAGGGCATTTATATATGGTTGAAGAATTTTATTCATCAATCTTTTATTTTTAATATTTTTTGAAAAGAAAATCAACTTCTAATTATTATATTTTCTCTCTTTCAACACTCGTGTCCTGCAAATAACCCGTACAGGGCCCCATTACCTGTTAACTGCTTTGCATATACGAAACTAACGAGGTTAAAGAAACAGTGTTACATCACTGTGCAAGCGGTAAATACTGCATATCAAAGGCAGTTTAGTACACATTTATTGTTTAAAATGATTATAAACTGTGTAGTATTGTTAAACAGTTAATTTAATCAAAGCGTAACAATGTACATTGTACATCCGGGTCATAGAAACAAATCTATTTTTAGAACAATTAGTTTTATTTTCGTATCTCAGGTAAAGGAAAAGTCGGTACGCAAATAAACTAAAACAAAATGTGTTTATAAACTTTATTGAAAGAATACAAAATAAAATAACATGTACAACACTAGACACATAACTTTTATTAGAATAAATAAGCATTCAATATGTTGTAAGTGGATTATGGACGTTCATCTTTCTTCAGGGATTTCCTTTACTGATCTGTACTATCGATGTTATTTGACTCCGTAATTTGGCATTTCGGATATAAGCATACTCCGCTTAATTGCATAATTTTGTCTGACAAATAGGCTATGCAAATAACCGGAATCGACTGTAGTTTCATCCATTGATATACTGTAAACCAACTAATTTTCGTGAACGATTTATTTTCGTGACTTTCACGATTAGAAAAATAACGTAAATATAAATCGTTGCGAATATGTAAAACTTGGATTTTTCCTTATATATCTACCTCAAGATAATTTGAGAAGTGCGAAATTAAATCGCTGCAAAATGGGTTAGAAACGGCTAAACGCGAAATTAAGTCTCCACGAAAATAAGTTGGTTTACAGTAGTTAGAACACACCCTAGTACATGCTATCACAACTGTGTTCCAGTTTGCTATTCAAAATTGTTTTCGCTATTGTGCAAAGCAGATGTTTGTCCGCTGTTACGATTGCCATTGCAATACCATTGATTTTGTGATCATGTACAGCAGATTTTATTCTCTGTTACCTATTGCATCTGCGCTACTGAAAGCTTGTAATAGGGTGTGTAAATTTTTTTTTCAGAAGAGGTATGAAAATTAAATTTACAGCTAACTACGTTTATTATTAAAGGTGTTGTATCATATACTTTATCTCTGCAGCTCCTTTGTCAGCTACAGCAGATGCTACGACTGTGACAAAAGCATTGAATGACTTAGCTTCTCTAGCACCAGATACTGTGACTGTGGCTCAGACTTCTCCGTCAGATACTTCAGAAGAATTCACAATTACATTTGATTCAACAAGAGGTAGGTCATTAAGTTTGAAAAAACAGCATTTGAAGATTTTAAAGTACATAAATAAATGATAATAACCTGATAATGAATTAATAGGGCTCAATTTTTATGAAATATTTCATAAGACAATAAAATTTTGTTTTACTTTTTAACGAAAAAAACTCTTGATTATCAAGTCCTAATTCTTAACCTTCAAGATCAAAATCCATGCAGATAATAATCATATTCTTTCAATGAGTTTTCAATTAAACTTTAAATTGAAAGTCGTTGTAACTGAACCAATGGCTTATCAAACCTGTAATTTTCAAGCAATAAAAATACCAAATGATCTTTTATACATACCTGGTCTCAGGTTTTATCAAATCTATATCAGTTTCTGTTTTGTATTGACATCTCTTACTCATCAGTCATTCTTTCTTGTACATGATATCCACTGTGTCCACACTTTTTAAAAATTTTGTTTTCTATAGGAAACCTACCTCAGTTGACCTCCATGGTAGAACCTTCAGGCAGTTCTTTAAACATTAAAATATCAACAACCACACAAGGAGTGTCAGGAAAGGGCAAGGCTCATCTAGAAATTGATGGAGTTTTCTCCCCTGCTATAGCCAATGATGCCACTGCAAGTGAGGTAAAATAAACTATTAGATTTGAACTTTAAACTTTAAACTTTACTGATTATAAGTCTATGTGCCTTTCTATGCCAAATGAGTTTGAATAAACATTTTTTTTGGCATTGAAATATTGGTCTCTGTATGAGGAACTGTTGTATATTATACATCTTCAACTTTGCCTTCAAGAATTGAATACTATCTGTCTCAATGTGCATGTTTGAATGTCATACTGTTACCCGCATGATACATATGTCAACAACAAAGCCAACAATCATGTCTCTGCTTACTACATACTTGACGAACCCAGCATCACAAGTTAGAATTTATTTATTTTGTTTCTGACATTTTTTCTTGACCTTAGGTTGAAACAGCTCTAAAAACTATGTTTGGAGTAAGATGTCCATCATCTATTGCTGGATTTGAGACTGGAGTGGCTGCTTATTTTGAAGACTTTGAAGGGAGTGTATCATCATCCATGGGTGAAGTAGTTAGTGAAGTTGAACCTCTCTGTGGTCGATTTTCTATCAAAAATCCTAAATATATCTACCAAACAGCTAATAACAAACTAGGACCTAAAATTGGAACTTTCAGAGAGGTTAGTATTTACATTTTATAAAATGCTGTTTGAATAGTGTAACTAATATTTGTACTGATATATTGATATCACTTTGGAAAAGAGTCTTCTTACCATTTTTTGAGAAAAGGCATAAACATATGTTCTTCTGATAAAACCAGGCCAATTTAGACAATGTTGAATATTGTAATCAAGTATGCAGTGAAAAAAAAATAATATAACCACTATGACCAAAATTAAAATAGAAAATTAAAAATGATTTTATTTTGATTTCAGTTATGTTTTGGATATCAAGGCAGTATACAGCAGTTGAGATTTATTCATACTTATAAAGGTGCTGAGAGAAGCCGCAGTACTTACCTTGATTTCCAAGGAAAGGCTTCAAATGATGTGTAAGTCTTGTCTAAGATTCTTAATATATTTATATTTACAAATGCAAATCCACCAACATCATCATAAAAAAGACGAGCTAGAGTATTTGTTGAAACAATCCGTTTGTTCACTAGTCTTGTATGTCGTATAATAGGTTCAGTCCAGAGGAGAATCGTAAATGATGCTAGTCATGGTGGATTCAGGGTATTCTAAATGGGTTCTGATGGGAAGGTTAGGGGGAGGGAGATGATCTCGTTGTTGAGGTTAATAGTCTTCTAGTCTCATTGAGGAAAGGCTTACTTAGTTATTTTTATGTACAGAAATGAAAACAAATAAAACTTGATTCCAATTTGTCTGAACTTCTAGGAAAATAATTAAATAAAGTTCATGCATAAAAAATAATTTTATCATCCTATTTGCTTTTTGTAAAAACGGAACTGAAATTGCTTTCACCTTTTCCTTCTGTTTTAGATGGAATTATACTTGTATGGACATTGGAACTCCATTGATAAACCTGAACAAAGATGAATCTCTTCACCGTGTAGATAAAATACAAGTTATATCAGAGGAGGATGTTTACATTGACACTGTTGCTATTGTATTAGAAAGCAGTTCTGATGTTGGAAGTAAGCAGATTCATAAAGGACAAAATACAATAGTAAAAAAGGCGGATGATAACCAAAGGGGTCATTCAAACCTCAAAAGGGCAAAAAACAAAAAAATCAAAACACTATAAAAATAATTGTAATTTTCAACAGATTTATTCAGAAGAAAACACTATAAATCATGGTTTGTTAAGAACAATATGCATATTTTCGTAGACATTAATTAGGACATCATAAAAGATTACAAGTTTGTAGAATTTTTACATCATCTGCTACATGAACGAAATTTACTATTTTCACTGAAAATATTTTAGCACTGAGCTCTGTCGTATAAGCCTCGCCACACAACTTTTTTTATTCCAAGACAATATATGGTTGTTCTGTACTTATCTCATTATTTCCCCAGAAATTAATTGTATTAGTGTAAAGAAAGTTTTCAAGGTTATATTTTCTTATATCAGGTGGAATGAATTACCAGAGATACAGAGCTGCTAAACCAGGAGGCTTTCCAATGAAGTCTGTCAGTGTAACAAGTAGTGCAGTTAATCAATATCAGGTTACCATGGAACCATTCGAATGTGGCAACAACTTTGATCTCTTTAAAATTGCTGAATCTCAAACTGTAAGTCTTCATGCTACTCATAATTTGTATCAATATAAACATTCAAAAATTCTAAAAGTTTATACTAATTTTTATTACAAAATTTCACCCATAGGGGTCAAGCAATAAAGTAAAATACATACAAACAAGAATACAACAAATATACACTTAATTTAATATACAAATGTGTTGTGAAAAAGTATTATATAATACTCAGATTGTTAATTTTACACCAGTGACCAAAAATGGTCAATGTAAAATTCTTTAAAGTTTTTTAATTGATTATTTGATGACATTATTTAATATCTTTTGAGCATTTTATTTTTTCTAAGACAATGACCATGAGACGGTGACAAGTTCTCTGATACAAAATTTGTATGCGTTAATTAGAAATAAACGTTTAATGCATATCATGATAGAAAATAAAGATTAATTTCATCTACAGTTAAGATTACAAAATTGAAGATCATGTAAAGATGATTTAAAGAAGAGACATTTTGACCACAAAATGTACCTTCGCCTTGATTTGCCATGTCTATTTGAATTGAAAGCTGATCAGTATGAATAAAGGCTTGAAGTTTATAATTGAAATATATTTTATACATTTCAGGGAAAGTTATCTGTTGCTGTTACACAAACATCTACAGCCAATCCACCAATTACTGGTTCTGTTACTGTAGCGTTCGAAGGATCTACCCTCAGTAGGTTTTTTTTTATTCCCAAATATTTGTATGTTATTGTGGATTGTATGTTCTAGGCTGCTTATTGTTCGAAAGTTAACAAAGACATTTAATATGTTTTTTGATAAACCTATGAGTAATGTGAGATATTGCCATTACTTAACATCTATCATTGGCATCTGTCGTCTTTTTGAAAAATTTTCTCTTCTGAAATCACAAGACCAATTTCAACCAAACTTGAACTGAATGATCCTTAGGATATCTAGTATGAAGTAAGTGTTTTTTATCCTGCCAAACCAACATGGCCACTATGGATAACAAAAGAACATAAGGGTAAATGCATAGATTGATTATTATATTGGAAACAATAATAGAATCAAGTAAAGTATATAGTGGCACTTTATGATTTTACAGGAATCCCAGTTGACTCTACAGAAGAACAATTGAAAGTTCTATTGGAATCTCGGTTCAAAGATACTATGGGACAGGTGGAAGTTGTGCATCAAGGAGACTGTTCTAACTTTGCTTGGACTATAACCTTTTTAACCAACAGGGGAGACCAATCTGAGATAACAGTACGTACAACCATTTCAAATCAGTCTGGGAAACATCCTTGATTATGTATATTCTTGCTTTTATTTTTTCTTTGATTGTGATATGAATATTTTCTATGATTTTGAAATCGATTACACTTTTGGACAGTTTATATGGTTTTATCTGTTTTACAGATTAGTGATCAGAGCAACTTGAATGGAGCTAGTCCAAGTGCTAAAACAGAGACAGTAAGAAATGGAGGTCATATGTTAGACACTATGGGAGGAGATTACCTAAGGACACCCCACGCTAAACCTCAGGTGGTGGTTGGCATAAACAATGTTCCCTCAAAATGTGCCGGAACTTGTGCATTTGAGTGGAAGTCTGACAGTACCCCTACATTTTCATGGGCATCTCCTGTTCAAGGTACATACTTAGTTAGTAATGTTAGATAAAGCTAAGGGCATCTCCTGTTCAAGGTACATACTTAGTTAGTAATGTTAGATAAAGCTATTGGCATCTCCTGTTCAAGGTACATACTTAATTAGTAATGTTAGATAAAGCTAAGGGCATCTCCTGTTCAAGGTACATACTTAGTTAGTAATGTTAGATAAAGCTAAGGGCATCTCCTGTTCAAGGTACATACTTAATTAGTAATGTTAGATAAAGCTATTGGCATCTCCTGTTCAAGGTACATACTTAATTAGTAATGTTAGATAAAGCTAAGGGCATCTCCTGTTCAAGGTACATACTTAGTTAGTAATGTTAGATAAAGCTAAGGGCATCTCCTGTTCAAGGTACATACTTAGTTAGTAATGTTAGATAAAGCTAAGGTCATTTCCTGTTCAAGGTACATACTTAGTTAGTAATGTTAGATAAAGCTAAGGTCATTTCCTGTTCAAGGTACATACTTAATTAGTAATGTTAGATAAAGCTAAGGGCATTTCCTGTTCAAGGTACATACTTAATTAGTAATGTTAGATAAAGCTATTGGCATCTCCTGTTCAAGGTACATACTTAATTAGTAATGTAAGATAAAGCTAAGGGCATCTCCTGTTCAAGGTACATACTTAGTTAGTAATGTTAGATAAAGCTAAGGGCATCTCCTGTTCAAGGTACATACTTAGTTAGTAATGTTAGATAAAGCTATTGGCATCTCCTGTTCAAGGTACATACTTAGTTAGTAATGTTAGATAAAGCTATGGGCATCTCCTGTTCAAGGTACATACTTAATTAGTAATGTTAGATAAAGCTATGGGCATCTCCTGTTCAAGGTACATACTTAAATAGTAATGTTAGATAAAGCTATTGGCATCTCCTGTTCATACAGTCCAACCTGCTATAACAGTCACCTCTTTTAAGCAAAAACCAGTCTTTGCAGGTCACTTTCTGTAGTAATACCTATGCATTTTGACCTTCAAATTGAAGGTCACCTCTCTTATAAAGTCAGTTTCCTCTGGTCCTGAAGGTGACATTTATATACAGGTTCGACTGTAATAAATTAGTAAGTTAAATAGTACAATAAACAATTTGTTGTTGTTTGAAAAAGAATAGGAAAAAAAGTAATGTTTATTTGGAACATGTGTGAATGCACTCGTTTAATTGGCTGTCATTGTGGATATAATAATTTGGCTTTGTTAGCTGTGAAGACATTTGTTTTCATTTTCAGTCCCATTATCTTAAAATTACAACAATAAAGGTATTTAATTCTTGACATTTATTTCATATAATATTTTGGAATGTAGTTGAATTTTGTATCCCGTGTTGAGTATTGTTTAGGAATTTTGTATCCTGTGTTGAGTATTGTTTAGGAATTTTGTATCCTGTGTTGAGTATTGTTTAGGGAAGTTTTATTGATTGTTATTTAGGTACACAAGCTTTGGGAACAGAATTGACTATTGATGGTAGTGGCTTTAGTTTAACTCAGACTGACAACACAGTGACCATTGGTGGTGTAGAATGTACAGTTACAGCAGCAGCATCAACCTACTTGAAATGTAATGTTGGTAATGGACCAATGGGACAGTTTCCTATTCTCGTAAAAGTTGCAGGAAAGGGTCAAGCTTCAGGGTCAATACAGTTTACATACACAGCAGAAATTACTGGAATAAGTGGACAAACTTCAGGAAGTCTTGCAGGTATTATATTTTGAATTATTTTCCCATGATTTTTGTACAAACAAATATGATTTAAAGAAATTGGATTATTTCTAAGGCAATATACTAGTCAACCCTATTTTATGCCCATAAAGTGTTATCCTGGTCTGTCTGTTCGTGCATCCGTACAGTGTCTGTACGTCCCAAAATTAGTTTCTGTCCTCTCACTTAAGTTTGCATCAACCAAGTGTTATGAAACTTATACATAATGCTTATTTCCACAAAACACAGATCAACCACTTATACTGTTTGAGAGTTATGCCTTTTACAAATGAAAAAAATGCTGAAATTTCCAAATGTAAGATTAGATATAACTGAATAGGTCTGACAGTTACGTTAAATGTTTTTCAGGAGGAACTGTTGTAACTATCACTGGGTCAGGTTTCGCACCTGACGTGGACATACAGTTTGATGGGGTGTCTGCTGTAGTACAGACCAGTGAACCTGGACAAGTTGTTTGTCTCACACCAAAGGGGGTAAGTTCTTAAAAACTCAAATAGGTGTTCTATATTTGTTTGCTAAGATACTTTTGTTGCAAATGTAAATTTTGAAGAGAACCTGATAAGAAATGGCATAACACGATTAAGGAGTAAGAACAGTTTTAAATACAATTAATCAGCCTGCATTTTTACAGTATTTTATGGTCTATCTCTCAGTTGGTTATTTATTTATTAATGTTATTTCTGTTGTAGTCCTCAGCAGCTAGTGTTGCTGTAACTGGTGTACAATATGGGAACACACTGACTTCACCAACACAATTCACATACGACGCTTCCAAGACTGCAACTATGTCATCCATTAGCTCAAATGAGGCATCAGTGTTTGGTAAGATTTTTGTTTGTTTGATAAAGCGACAGCAACCCCCCCAAAAAAATAACCAAGAGATATATAGAGGGCAACATACAATCTTCAACAATAAACATTTTATCTACACATTATGTCAAGATCTAAATCATCTATAAATAGTGTGAAGAAATTTAACAGAAAAATCCCTCCCCCTTTTCAATCTGAATCAATATATTAATAAAACATTCATTAAAGAGAACACACATTCAAGGAACAATAAAACATAAAGCATTATAAATTAAGTATGATTTTAGTCTGAACAATTGTGTAATGTTATTATGTGTTAGATTATACACTCAGATGATTTGATGACAATGAATATGGTTTTAGCTCAAATGTTTAAACTTTCATTTATAATTTGTTTAAAATGAAGGTGGAAAATCAATTACAATTAGTGGAAGTGGCTTTGGAGGATCAGCTTCTAGTGCAGATGCAATTAAAATCAATGGAAAGGCTGCTACAATAACTTCCTACAGCGATACCAGTGTGATTGCCACTCTACCAGCCAACGCCCCAGGAACATACAGTATTGGTTTTAGTATTGGATCTGATGGATATGCATCAGTTGCAGCAAATGTTGTGTTAGTATTTGAGTTTGATATCAAACTGGTTTAACATATAAAAAATATTTATAAAGTATAATTATAAAGGACCAGGGTACAAAAAAGTTGAAATTTAAGGACCAAAATTATTAATGACTCAAACTCCAAATATGAAAAAGATGTAGTTAATTGCAAAATAGAAAAATTTTAACAAATTGCAAATCAATGAGTGGATACAAATGGAAGTATGTTATATACCTTCTAACAATATAAGTATAATGTTTATTTATTTATTAGTGGAACAGTAACGTATCAGTTGACTGTGACAGATATCTACCCCACACAAGGTTCCCTGTATGGTGGAAGTCTTGTAACTGTGTTTGGAAGAGGATTTGGTACCAACGCCTCATTGGTTGATATTTCTTTTGGAGCTTATAAATGTCAAATACAAGATATAGCCGATACTGAACTTACTTGTCTAACATCAACTACAGCTAAAACTCATGTGGTTACCAACCAAGGATCTCATTCAAGTGAGTAATGTTCATATACTGGTAATGCCTTGTTTTTCTAAGTTTTGAAGTCATAGAAATGACTAAGATGTTAAGTTGCTTCACATCATTAGTATCTAAGATTCGTGTTACAGAAAAGTTATTTTTTGCTTTAAAAAAATCTAGAAATTTGGATAAACAATTTTTTAATAAAAAAATTAACTAAAAAAGTGTTAATTGTGATTATAATTATGACTGTCTAAATTGATAATAAATAAAGAATAGATAAGAATACATAAAGAAAATATTGGATTCAAAAATAAATAAAGAATATATAAAAATACATGGAGAAAATATTGGATTCAAAATGATCTTCTTGTAACTTACATTATTCTGATAAAATTATGGCTCCCAAGTCACAACACTTTGCTGACTGTTACTATTACTTCCAGCCTATGGTGCCGGTTTTGCCTGGGATCAGCTGACTTTGACAGTGGAGGAAGGAGATACTATTAATTGGCAGTGGTCACTGAGTACTAATGGTTACACATTAGGTGTATACCAATCAGATAATATAACTGCAACAGCAGACAAATCAGGAGGATTCTCTTCTGGAGATGCCTCAGCTTCAGGTAAGATAAAAGTTATTTGTTATAATGTAAATCTTAAGTGTAGATAATTTTTTGAACTTTCAATAAATATGAAAACTATAAGTACCCAAATCTCATGGAAGTTTTGTCAGAAATTTGTCTCAGAATTTTGAATAGAAGTATTAGCTATAAAACTTATAATTGGGACTGTATGATTATGATGTACACATGGTTGGAAAAATGGTTTCTTTCCATGATACAATGTCTGACCATTATTAATTTATTTCTAAGATAAATATTTTTTACCTCCTACTTTTGGATTTATTCTAGAGTTGTTCAGTCTATAAATTTTATAAAAAAATGTGGACATCTAATTACAGGATCTTATAAATACCATACATACAGACCAACCTCTTTTACCTACTGGAGTGGTTTAGCTGATGGAATATCTATAAGTCTACATGGGCAGGTTGAAGTGACTGGCAGGGTTGATTCTGTACATAACCTAGTACTGACAGGAAATGGATACGAAGCTACATATGATACAACAAATAAAGGTATATTAGATTAAGTCGGAAAAAAGCTTTCCTGGATGAAGTATCTTCATTGTCTTTGTAAAAGCTTACTCATGATTCTAATAAGCCTTCTTACATTTAAAGGAATATGGACAATTTTAAGGCTTGCATGTCAACATAAAAAATTACAGTTGTTGGATGTACATGCATTTGAAAATATTAATAAGAATACTTTAGATTCTGAGTACCATATATTTAATGCTATTTCTTTGGATAATCTTTTATTTTATGGTCTTCATTCATACTGATTGACTTGGGAGGGCCAGAAATTACTAAATAATCTTTAAAAAGGAGGTGTAATTTAAAAGTAATTTTTTAAATTACAACAAAGAAAATGGTTAAACAATCAATTATATGATTTGTGCTGCTTCAGTTAGAAATCTACCTAAGCTTATGCAAATGAGTATCAATACATCTGTTAACCTCTTTGGGGTTTATAAAATCTCTATGGAAAGCCTGTAACTGTTTAAAAATTGAGTTGTTATAGGAACCCTACAAAACAGACAAAATTTCATCATTTATTTTGTATTTAAATGTTTTAAAATCAATCAAAGTCTAATACATGTACATGTATAAATGAACTTGCATAAGGTCTATTTCTGTCCGACGCAGCTTATTACATATTCATGTTAATTGCAAGTTTGAAAAGTTTGTCCCCACCCAAAAAACAAAAAGAAAATGAAAATCAGCGTATAAATTGCCTTCCTCTCTAATCAGTAGTATATTTAATGCATTCTCTTTTTAAAGGTTCTACAACACCATCAAACAGTGGTGCCTGTCCTTGGGATACTACAGCTATATCTTCATGCAGTGCTTTGACAGGAGATGCTGACAAGTTCAACTTTATGTACCAGTCCTGTATGACCGGTACAGTGTCATCTATATCTAACAACCAGAGATCAGCAGCACACACCATTGATATAGCCGGCACAGGCTTCAGTGCACAGTCCTGTCAAAACAAGATCAAATTGGGAGACTATTTCTGTGTTGTTTCATCAGCATCAGCAACAAAGGTTACCTGTACAATAGATCCACAAGGGAAAATGCAGGTAACATAAACACAAAATTACAAGTTTAGAATAAATTTTCAAAACATTGGCATGCAATATTTCTGGCGGTATTTTACCTTGAATGAAATTAAAACTAATATTTTTCATTTTTCATTTTAAATTTATTTTTAACTTTTTTATTTATCTATTTACTGTAGAAAGTTTTCATAAAAGTTTAATCATAAATTTTCATATGCGACATGAATGTGATTTTACCTTTAAACTCATTTCACATGGTTCTTTTGTTATTGGTTTTGTCAAGTGCACGTTAGGATTACTGTGGATTCATTTATTTTCGTGGGTATCAATTTTCGTGGATCGAGGAAAACTTGCATTTTCATGGATATTTCTGATTTCGTGGTAATGACAATTTCTGCAAACAAAGCCATAAGAAAATTTGAAATTCGTTGAACATTGGAATTCGTGGTTCACCTGTACTGACGAAACCCACGAAAACTGGTATCCAACGAATAATAATGAATCCACAGTATATGTTTTAAATTGAAAATAAACTCTATTCATTTATGTGAAATATATAAGAAAAACTTACTTAGTGTTTTAACCATATCATGTAATGATTTTAGATTGGAAATGTTGAACATTTTGACGTCTCGTCATTCAATCGTGGACAATTTTTACTAGAGTTACCAACAGATGCTAAGAGATCTTTCCTATTGCTGCCTCATGTATCTTCAATGTCACCAGAGTCAGGATCAGTAGAAGGTGGGCAAGTGGTTACAATATCTGGTGGAGGATTCATCCCTGGAGAAACAACAGTCATTATTGGAATGTCTGACTGTCCTGTCATCTCTGTTGATTATTCTACTTTAACCTGTACATTACCAAGAGCAGGCAGAGAAGGATTCAAGAATGTCAAGGTGACAGTCACTGCTAGTGATGGACAAAAAGGAGATGCTGTTTGCTCTTCCACTAGCTCAACATTATGTTCCTACCAGTACAAATCTGACGAAACACCAACGGTCACTGGTGTCACCCCAGATACTATATCAGGATCAACAACATTGACAATCAGTGGTACAAACTTTGGAACAGATACCTCTGCTGTCAGCGTTACCATTGGAGGAGAGGTTTGCAGTGTATCAGCTGTCACTGGTACCAGTATAACATGTACAGTACCATCAGCCCCTGTAGGGGATCAGACAGTCAATGTTAATGTGGCTTCATTAGGAAAAGCATCAACAACAGTTGTTGTAACAAGTTCTCCTACCCTGACATCCATTACCCCCTCTTCAGGCAGTACAGAAGGCAAAACAGTCGTTGTTATTGTAGGAAATGGTTTTGTTGTAAATAAAACCGAGGTCATCATTGACGGCAATCAATGTGAAATAGTAACTGTATTGTTAACTTCAATAGAATGTTCTACACCTGCTGGCACAGATGGCGCCAAAACTGTCACTGTATTATCCAATGGTGTGACTTATACATCAACCTTGACCTTTACATATGGTACAGCCATGACCCCATCTGTCACAAGCATCTCACCAACATCAGGACAAATTGGAGATACTGTAACTATCACAGGAACTAAATTCGACACTGTTACCGGAAATAATGTTGTAAAAGTAGGTGGAGCCACTTGTTCTGTATCTTCTGCAACCACCACATCTGTTATGTGTACCTTGGGAGTTCAATCACCAGGACAATATGATGTTATGGTCAATGTTAACCCCATGGGAAGAGCTGGTTCATCTGTTCAATTTACATATGCTATGACAGTTTCATCAGTCAACCCTACATCAGGTTGGATATATTTTACGATCACAATCTACTATAGTTTAATGTATTTTGTTTTTGCGAGATAATCAAATCTACTGAACTTGAAACATATTGAGCTGTTCAAGCTATAACCAAATCAATATGATATTAAGAAGCTTACAATTTTTAAAGATTTTATGTGTGTAGCTTCAGTGAGAGCACGTGTTTTTAGGAATAACAAATTCATAAGGTAGTTATCAATGAGACAGCAACCCAACACAAAATGGCCAAAAAGACATCTTGAGTTCAACATATGATTGTAAAAAAGAGTGGTAAACGTCATTGAGAGAGAAACTATAATATATACAAAAAAAGCGATAAAACCTTATTGGGTCAATTCTGTTGTTCTTTGAGATGATGTTGGTTATCACAAATGTACCCAAAAAGCTGGAAATTAACTATTGCTTAAAATTATTGCTTGTTTTCTGTCTTCTCATAAAACAAATATCCATGTAACCTGCTTTAAATAACAATAGTCACTATATACATTTCATTGTGTAAACTAAAGTGTGATAACAAATCCTAAATATGTGAAAACATAACTAGCTTCCCATTGTTTTGAGATTGAAATTATGTAAACGTAGGTAGAAAAAAGCAGTGGCATTCTAATTACTAATTTGTGCAATTTCAGGAAGTCTTGGTGGAGGCCAAGTAATTACCATTGCTGGTTTAGGGTTTGATCCTCAAACTTCTAAAGTTATCATCTGTGGTCAGGAATGCACTGTTGATAAAGCAGCTAGTACAACTACCAATCTTGTTTGTTCAACCCCAGCTTCTACAGGTAAATACCATATTATGTGAATTAAGGTGCTTACAAGTCTGGCGAGTTTTTTAATGTTTTATGTAGAATACTACAGAAAATTCTTTCACCAAACAGTCTTTGCTGTTTATACAAAAGATGCACCCAAGAAAGTTGTTTAATTTAAAAAATACTAAAAACTAATTGTTTTAATTATATACAGGTATATCTATGTTCCAAGGAATATCAAGTAAAAGAATTGTTATGATCACTACATGATTTATTTAGGATAAATAAAAAACCACAACTGTGCAGCTACGACAATTACATTGATTGTATTTCAGGATCCGTAACTGTAAGCTGTGATGTAGAAGTCATTGATAACGGACAAACAGCCGCATCAACCTATCAGTATGATTCAGCAGCCTCACCATCCATTACTTCTGTCTCTCCATCTATTGGTGGAACCTCAGGGGGAACAACTCTTACAATTGAAGGAACTGGTTTTGGGTAGGTAAAATAGATATTTTAAAATGAGACATATCATATTAATTATTGATAAAGCGTGGTGGGAACAACTATAACTATTACCATTACATTAAGTTGCTTTTGATAGTTTAATTGATCTATGTCTCCTATTGTTGACAAAACATCAGGGGAAACAACTCTTACCAGAACACAAGCTTTTGGTAGATAATGTCAGTATTATAATGCAAAACTTCTTACAATATATCACAAGCCAAAGAAAACTTTTTTCTGTAGGTCAGAATGAAATTTAGTAATTTTAGTAGTTTGGATAGGGTTATAGATGAGAAAACTGGAATCTGATTCAAAACTTAAGTATGAGTTGAAATTGAATTTCAGAAGTTCTACGTCAGATGTATCAGTGACTATTGGTGGAATTGCTTGTGTAGTACAAACTGTTGCAAATACAAAGGTTGTCTGCATAACAGGAGCCAGAAATTCTGGATCTACTGATGCCCAAGTTGAACTACAGGTCAATGGTGGAGGAAATGCAAGACAGGTATGTTTTTTTATTAATGTGCTCAAGGTAAACTATATGTTAGGGACGAGAAGTTGCATGAAAGGTAAATATGTTTGTGTTTGTTCAGATGCTGCATTGAAAATAAGGTTTGAAATAGGACAAGTGCAACAAAAGAAATATGTCTGAAACTTTTTAAATATGACTCTTAAGTGATTTACTGTGAGGTATTCAAGTGCATATATTATTGTAATATCGTTATATGAAGTCAATTGATGCAAAATCTTATGTCATTAGTCATATTATCAAAAAAAAAAAGCAATATGGTCTATGGAATTGACAAATACAAAAGTTTAAGTTGACAAATTATAAACTCAAAACATCAGTGATTTTTCCATTTTCCTTGAAAGTAAATATCCATGAATAAAATGACTTTTAAGTAACAGGTAGAATTATTTTATAGGTTGGAGCTGACTTTAGCTATGTTTGGGCATGGTCATCTACAAACTCCTGGGGTGGAAAAAATCCTCCTGTGGAAGGAGAAATTGTTGTTATACCAGCTGGAATGACAATTTTACTGGATCAAAGCACACCTAAATTAAAGACACTATTGTTACAAGGTAAGTATTTTGAACTAGGATCTGTTACAAAGTAAATTATTGACCAATTAAAATGTACTCTAACAGGCAAGATATGTTATACGTTTGTTCTCATATTAAAAATGAAAAAAAGAAAAGTAATTTACATATAACAAAACTGGTCATATTCCAAAAGTTCACAATCCTGTTTCTAAAGATCATAGAATAAATGGCACGAGAAAAGAATATAGAATTTTTAATTTTGAGGTTCTTATTTGTATCGTTAAGACTGGATATTTGTTGGCTTTCTGTATGCTATTAATGTAGATGAAAAGGTAATTTTTGAGGTAGGCATGTTTTTTTATCATTATTTGTTTCATATAATACAAACAGCTTCTTTTAGTGAGAACTTTATGTTGATAAGAAATCTATGCAAAATGTTAGCCAATCAAATCTGTCTACAAAATCATTGGGTTTGTAACAAAGTTGATATTTTCAGCTAATGTACACATACTGTATATACATGATTATTATATTTTTATAATCACATGTATTATTTAAATTACAGGAGGAAAATTAATATTTGATGAACAAGACATTGAATTGAATTCAGAATATATATTGATCACCAATGGTGGAGCACTGCAGGTTAGTAAACATTTATACACAGGGAAATACTTTAAACAATATTCTTTGGTTGAACATCAAACATTTTTAGAAATTTACTTTCCCTGAGCAAGGTATCTAAGAAGTGATTTTATTATAGTTGAAAATATATGAAACTTCTTTATAGATTGTGATAGAACTTTTTTTGTCTTTACTGATTTAAGTTGAAAGTATTTACAGTGTTTTACCATTGATATATATATACAGTGACTTCTCATTAAACAAATGATTCTAACAATACTTCTTCAATGCTCATTTAACATTGGTTGGCATTATCTTAATAGTCAATATCTTTATACTGAATATCAAAAAGCAAGATAAAAATTATCATTTTGATCTCCAGGGACATTCAATATACAACTGACATGGTAATTAAACTCAATTGTGTTGTGAAGCATGTGTACCCCATGTTTTGTTAAAAATTAGAATTTGGCATTGCATACAAAAGTAAAATAACAAAATTACCAAACTCCAAGGAAAATTCAAAATGGAAAGTCCCTTATCAAATGGCAAAATCAAAAGCTCATACACATCAAACGAATTGAAAACAACTGTCATATTCCTGACTTGGTACAGGCATTTCCTTATGTAGAAAATGGTGGATTAAACCTGGTTTTATAGCTAGCTAAACCTCTCACTTGTATGACAGTCGCATAAAATTCCATTACATTGACAACAATGTGTGAACAAAACAAACAGACATAATAGGCAAAAATGTCAAAAATAGGGGTACAGCAGTCAACATTGTGTTATAATCTTAATCACTAAAAAAATAAACAATTATGTCAACAAAGAAAAACAAAATGGCATATAGACAAAGCAAAAAAGCAAATATGAAAGACAAGAATACAAAAATTGACCATAGCACAATAACACAATGATGGGATGTATAAGTACCGAGCCACGCCAAAGGCATATTACCAAAAATATTAACAAAGCAAAAGAAAATTGTTATATTATCGTAGAATGTTTTTTAAGTGCTTTGTTTTCTAGTTTCTGTACTTTTTTGCCACTCCCTTATGCACAACAGAGAGTGGTACAAAACATGTCTGAGGGTCTGGATGGGGTTTACAGAACAGAGAATAATGGGCAAAAAGTGCAAAATAAAGGGCAAAAAAAAATTAAGAATAGAGAAAAATAGGCTAAATAAAAAATAATGAATAGAGAATAATTGGGTGCTTCATTATGAAAATTAGAGAAAAATGGGAAAAATAAATAAAGAATAGAGAATAAACAAATGAAGGAACCCCATTTCTGTCAGTTTGTCCTGTCTGTCAATTTAAAAGATATGAGGTTGCAGATATTTAAAAGATCTTGGATGAACTCATAGATTGATGCATTTGTCAAATACTTTATGAAAAAACTACTTTTTCACAAAATGGACTTTTGGTCTTGAAGATATTCATTTCTTTCTTTCCTGGTGGTGTTCTGCTATTTTTAATTTAAGAAATATTATTAAAATTTATAGGTTGGAACTGAAGACAAACCCTTCCAGAGTAATGCTATAATAAGACTTCATGGAGCTTTTAGGAGTGAGGAACTTCCTATATATGGAAGCAAAGTTCTGGCAGTTAGAGAGGGAACCCTGGATCTTCATGGTGAGTTCAAAATCTAGGTTGTCTTAAACCATCTGTATTTTCTGTGTTGCAAATATGTCTTTTTCAAAATACATTATTTATACAGTAATGATTGGATGCAAGATATTTAGGAATTTAAAAGTATAGGATTCTGTTTCTTAACAAGAGACAAAACTAGGCAATGTATGGACCTGTCTATTGTTTAAGGTACCTCTAGATGTATTAAGGTTGTTTGTGTGGTTGGGTTGGTTTGCTTGGGTAAAATTCTTATTAGCAAAATTCATTGTTTTAGAATCTACAGAACCATTAGTTATTTTATTGTTTGTAAACCAAAATAGAAATAGCTTGACCCCTCGGCTAAACATCCTTTGCTAAATTATCAACCAAACACTACAGTTTTTTTAAGTTCTTAAAAGCATTATTTTAGGTTCTGAAACAATGAACTGAATTCTTGTTTTTTTCCAGGTATACCAACACCTGTTACCTGGACACATCTTGCACAAACAGCAAATGCTGGAGACACAACAATAACCTTAATGGCAACTGTTAATTGGCCTGTAGGAAGTCAAATTGTCTTACCAACAACTGGACACAGACACTCACAGAGCCAATCTGAAACAAAGTAAGATAAATACCCTGTTTAAAAAGATCAACTGTTGTCATTATAATCAGTGTTTTTATTTAAAGACATTTAATTTGTTACCATGGTAACAGTATTCTCTCTCTATAAAAAATTGTAATTTTCTAATTATTTGAACAGATATACTAGTAACCTTTCATATCGATTCATTCATTCATTCCAAACCTGATAATTATGAAGCAATGCAAAGCTTTATATTACCTATTTCACATTTTTAAAATAAATTTGAGATTTAAAAAATGTTTTTTTTTACATTTGACTTCATTACATAGTATCTTGATATAAATATTAAAACAAAAACAAAAGTAAACAGCTGTACCTTGACCTACAGTAGCTACTAAATTCTTCGTCATATGGTCTCTTGTGCAAAGTTGTCTCATTGGCAGTCATTCAACATTTTATTTTTAAGCCGTTTTTTTCATCTTCCATAATGATTGGACTGAAGACAAATGTTTTTATTTCTATTATAGAACCATTACTGCCATTTCTGGAAAAACCTTGACCTTAGATTCAGCCCTAGCCAATAAACATGTGGCCGAAAGTGAAACCTTTGGTAGTACTACTGTAGAATTACGTGGTGAAGTTGGTCTACTGTCACATAATGTTAAATTTCAAGGGTCAAGTGATGTACAGTTTAATGATGAAATTAAAGCCTGTCCAGAAGGATTTAATACAGGTAGGTCAAAGATACCTTACAATGGTTGATCCAGGATTGTCAGAGGGGATGTAAGGACAGTCAAAAATCAGAAAAATATACTAAAATAAAAAAAATTCTGCCATTAGGGGAAGTCCTTGCTTCTTTGGAACCCCCTTTATCTGACCCCTGATCTGAATGATTTATATATAATTAGCATGTTTCTTATTTGTGGATGACTATTTTTTGGGTGGTTTATTTTTAACTGATTTGTATATGGGGTATTTAAAACAATAAATATACTATAACATGCTGCTTCAATAATATTCCTCTGTGTGTTTCAAAAACCAAGTTCTAGTATTTTTAACCCTTACAATTACTAGTAAATTTTGTATGTACTTAAAAGTTGAAGGTCTGTCACATATATCTACTCTGCATATTTTTATTCTTTTTTGGTCTTTAGGTGAATTTACAACACAGACATGTTTCCAGGGAAGATTTGGGGATGAGATAGGATCTGATCAGTTTGGTGGACACATTCTCATCCATCCAGCTGAAAAAGATAAAGATTTAGCTGTAGCTAGGATATCTCACATAGAAGTCTCCCATGCTGGACAAGCGTTCAGACTTGGACGTTATCCCATTCACTTCCATATTCTTGGCATCACAACAAAGTCATATGTCAGTGGCTGTGGTATACATAACACATTTAATCGTGCTGTAAATGTGCACGGCACACACGGCCTCGTCGTAGAGCGCACTGTCATTTATAACATCATGGGTGGAGCCTTTTTCTTAGAAGATGGTGTTGAGACAGGTAACTCGTTCCAGTATAATCTTGCAGTGAAGGTTATTGCTAGTACAAGTCTTCTGAACGATGACATTACTCCCGCTGCCTACTGGGTAACCAATCCAAACAATACAATTCAACACAATACTGCCGCTGGAGGAACACATTTTGGTTTCTGGTATAGAATGCATGACCACCCTGATGGACCCTCTTTTGATCCTAACGTCTGTCCCAAACATGTCCCGCTCGGTGTTTTCCAAAATAACACAGTTCATTCCCAAGGATGGTTTGGAATCTGGATTTTCCATGATTACCTACCCAAGGCTGATGGAGCATGCTCATCCTCTTCGGCAATGACAGTGGCAGTGTTTAATACTCTTACTGTTTGGAACTGTGAAAAAGGTGCAGAATTTGTTAATATTGGTGCTGCTCAGTTGGTTGGTCTTGTAGCAGTACATAATGAGAAAGCTGGTTATGAAGGCAAGTTGGTAATTGAAACCCCCCAGTTTGATGAGACTAATGGTCATGCTGTTAAAGATTCAGTCATTGTTGCTAGAAGTCAGCACCTTGATAAACAGCCTGATTGGCGCTCGTCAGGCCAGGGTTGTACAGTTGGTGGAATCGTTCTTCCCTATGGAAATGGATTGATCGTTTCCGGTGTGTCATTTTATAATTTTGATGAAAGTTCATGCCAAGCCTTTACCTATACTAAAATTGATGGTACATGTTCTGAATTTTGTGGAGGTTTTACATATCATTTCAAAAATATAGCCTTCGACACTGCTTCAAGTAGTCACAGAGTACGATTTGATTGGCTACATGAAGGAGTAATGGTGGATTTGGACGGAACACTCTCTGGACAGGCAGCAGGCAGTTCTATTGTACCAACCATGACACATTTGCCATCAAGGTAAGCAGTGTGATGATTAAATGCCAGGAAATAGCTGGTAGAAAAAATATCTTGTAGTATAACAGTAGTTGTTGGTTTCTTTGTACACTCAGACATATTTTAATTAGGATAATTCGTAATTTCTATGACAAATTTAAAAAAAAATGTATATGCCCACAAATGAAGGTCATTCCATTTATAACATGTAGTCTTTCAATTATTTTGTCCTTTTGATATATATATGGTGAAGAATTGGCCCTTCCTTTACATTTGGGGAAAAACCTGTAACATTCTTTTATTTGTTAGGTTTCTTTGCCTGTTATAGAAAAACACTAGAGTCAAGTTCTGCTGAAAATCTTTATCCTCCAAAAGTGTCAGTCTATTACTTATAGCAGTTATTGCCCTTTAACAATGCTATTATTTATAGCAGTTATTGCCCTTTAACAATGAAAAAAAATGATTAGTTGATATCTTTACTTGAAAACAGTAATGGAGAGACAGTAACTACACAACAAAAGCAATCAACAAGCAAATTGAGAATTTCAAATCATTTAATTGATAGAAAATTGATATAGGGAAAACTGATTAGGGAAGGGCCATGACATTATTGCAGAAATTATAAAACTTGACTGAAATAGTAAAGTTAAGAATTTTGTCTTTGCAAGAATGCATGTTGGAAGAACTGAAGATACGTGTAATTTCCATTTCAGTTGTTCATCAATTTCCAATGGATTTACGATGGCTTTACCAGCCAGTAGTTGTCCTCCAGGAATTAGTTTCCATAGAATGTCTTTCAATGGTATTTCACCAGCATCATTAAAGGGTAAAGATGTGATGATAACAAACCAGTATGGTACAGAGAGAGGATACTTTAAAGACAAGCGTATAACTCACAAAGATGGATGGGTCTTCCTTCTCATTGGAGGTGAAAATCATAAAGTGCGATTTGAGAATGCTGCCCATGTTACCAACATAAGTTATACAGGAGTTTTCTATGAATTTAATGTAAGTAAATTCTTATATTGTTTTCTAACTTTTATATTAGTTGTTGGGCTTTAAATTCATGACTTGAATAATTTCAACACAGCAGTAATAGGGCCTTCTTTTTGGGTACTTAAAACACCATATGTAAATTCCTGGGTCAGACTCAAGTTTTTACAGCATCTACTGGATATATAGTTACAGGAGATAAATCATGTATTGGGATTTTTGAATAACAATTATACTTGATTTAGTGAAGGCAAGCCGTATAAAGTTGTATGCAAAAGTAATTTTGTGACATTATTGACAGGAAAAATGAAAAACATATAAATACAAGGATTGATTTATACAGAATTTAGGAAGAATTATTCAGTGTTTAAATGGGTGCTTTTGTTTCAGGATGCCACTGATTATGTAGAAGTTTGCCACTTATTATTCAGTGTTTAAATGGGTGCTTTTGTTTCAGGATGCCACTGATTATGTAGAAGTTTGTCACTTATTATTCAGTGTTTAAATGGGTGTGTTTTTATTTCAGGATGCCACTGATTATGTAGAAGTTTGTCACTTATTATTCATTGTTTAAATGGGTGGTTTTGTTTCAGGATGCCACTGATTATGTAGAAGTTTGCCACTTATTATTCATTGTTTAAATGGGTGCTTTTGTTTCAGGATGCCACTGATTATGTAGAAGTTTGTCACTTATTATTCAGTGTTTAAATGGGTGTGTTTTTATTTCAGGATGCCACTGATTATGTAGAAGTTTGTCACTTATTATTCATTGTTTAAATGGGTGGTTTTGTTTCAGGATGCCACTGATTATGTAGAAGTTTGCCACTTATTATTCATTGTTTAAATGGGTGCTTTTGTTTCAGGATGCCACTGATTATGTAGAAGTTTGTCACTTATTATTCAGTGTTTAAATGGGTGTGTTTTTATTTCAGGATGCCACTGATTATGTAGAAGTTTGTCACTTATTATTCATTGTTTAAATGGGTGGTTTTGTTTCAGGATGCCACTGATTATGTAGAAGTTTGCCACTTATTATTCATTGTTTAAATGGGTGCTTTTGTTTCAGGATGCCACTGATTATGTAGAAGTTTGTCACTTATTATTCAGTGTTTAAATGGGTGTGTTTTTATTTCAGGATGCCACTGATTATGTAGAAGTTTGTCACTTATTATTCATTGTTTAAATGGGCGGTTTTGTTTCAGGATGCCACTGATTATGTAGAAGTTTGCCACTTATTATTCATTGTTTAAATGGGTTGTTTCAGGATGCCACTGATTATGTAGAAGTTTGCCACTTACTTGACCAAAAACCAGATAAATTTTATTGGCAAGGATCTGCTGCTGGACAAAATATGTCAACATCAGCACTAGATTTAAGTAGAAATAAGCATGGTGATTGGTTCTTTGACAATGTGACCAACGACATGTGCTTTATGGGTGGGTATTCATTTTAATTTCTGTATGATGCATGATTGTACTTTTAATTATAATATGTTGATGAATGTTTGATAGTAGTATATATGAAGATGAATAAAGTCACTACTCGGTTCTCTGTCTTATCAACCAGAGACTATGGCTGATATTCAAGATTGACTTTTGTTTTGTTCAAACTCACCATGTAATGATGTATATATCTATTGTATATCAACAGAGCTGTTACTTATTTTGATTTAAGATTTCATGCTTCCAACATTTTTTATTAAGGAAGATGTTCTCCAAGCCCATTGTTTGGATGGTAAAATCCATTGATGCTGCTGTATGAAATAGTTGAATATTTTCATAGTCATTTCATTGGCCATATTCTTACATTTTATAATTTTAGTTGCTGGAAAATTACAAAGAAAAAGATCATCACCAGGACTAGTTGTCAACTCAGTAGATAGACCAATGAAGGTGGACTCATTCAAATGTTACTTTAAAGACTGTATTCCTCCACCAGATCCTGATACCATTCCACCGACATGTACACGACCGTCAGATATCCAAGTATGGTCAGACACCTCAATATGGGATGTGGATGCTGATGGATATGTCAGTAATGTTGGTAGTGGTACTCATGGACTACCAAAGGCAGGAGATATGAAATTGAAAATTAAAAAAGGTGAACCATACTAATGTAACTGACTGAGATTTTTCTGGCTTTTGTTTATATTTTCATATTCAAATTCCTATGGAGATGTTTATATTAAAATGGTGTTAAGATTAGATTTATGTAAGATATATGATATCTGGAATTCATTTCTAATCAGATGAGATATATCTGTTACATTGATCACACCTGGTCATTAGCAGATCTGTTACATGAGGCTTTTTTGAAATTCTAGTCCAAATCCAGTCTTTTGATTGGTTGAATTATGAGTCGGTGGATGATAGTTGTACTCCAAATATTTATGACCGCAAAGTCCAGTCATTGATTACAAACGTCCAGTAAGTTATTTTTCAATCTACTAAATTATGAAAATTCCTTTTAAATTTTATTTCTATCAATTAATTTCATTTGGATGTTGTAAAATTTGTTTCATACAAGCAATTCTCTTATTATCCAGTAAGGTTTAATCCAGGTCAATAAATCATCTAAATGTTCAGTAAGAAATGTTTTAGTCCTATGAATTGTGTAAATATTTTGGTCCAGAAAATTGTCAAAATGTCAAATATAAATCAGGAGATCTATACAGCTGGTAGGAAATTTTTTTTTTGAAATTAAGGCTTAATATTATTTGGACTGAAAATCCAGTTAAAAATGTTAAATCTTCGATATTTTAATTGCATTCATTTTATAACCAAAGTTTCTATTTAACAGATACATGGGTTGTTGGTGATACATCTATTCCTCAGTTGGATTCATTAGTGTTAGAAGGTGTGTTGGAATTGAGCCATGGACCATCTAAAGATAGGCAGTTTACCATTGATGTGATGTACCTGTATATACAAGGAGGTCGACTGATCATTGGATGTCAGGAGAGCAGTCCTTTTGAGGGCCTAGCCACAATTATATTAAGAGGAGATCATTCCACACCAGTTTGGCCAAAGACAGAAGGACCAAATATTGGTTCTAAAGCCATTGGTGAGTTGTTGATCTTTTCAGACCTTTTTTGCCATTTTGTGAAGAAGAAAAATCTGTTTTACAGTTACCATAATGTAGATATAGTTGTCATTATTCAATGCAAGGATTCAACTTACGGTTATAAAAGAAAATAGTTTAAAAATGTATAGTATGGAAAAATGAAGTTGGTCTGCTAAATTTACAAAATATTTCAGTGTAATATTAGAATATTGTTGGTTAATTTCAGCTGTATTTGGAGGCTTGGATCTACATGGTAAAGATGTGGGTAAATCTTGGACCAAACTTCAGCAAACTGCATCAGCTGGATCCAACCAAATAGTCCTTTCTGAGACGGTAACTTGGTCTGCTGGGGATGATATTATTATTACAGCAACAGGCTATGAAGTCAATGAAGCTGAGAAGCATACTATCCAGTCAGTGGCTGGTGATCAGAAGACTATCACACTTACCTCCAATTTGGCATATAAACATATAGGTAAGTCCAATGGTACTTCAAATGTAAGTAGTCTTCATATATAAACATATAGGTAAGTCCAAAAGTACTATAAATTTAATTAGTCTTTAAAGTGGACAGTGTTCACTTCATAGTTTTAAATGATGAAAAATAAAAAAAATTTGTTCTGCATGTAGAAGTTAATTTGTAAATGCTGGTGTAGATATGAGTAAGCTCTGAAAATAATTGTCTTGGAGTAGAACTTTATTTACAACATTAGTTCAAAACTGATATTATAGTATTGTTTATAAAGTAGATTCCAGTGAGATTTTGTTAGGAGGAACAACTACATGATGACATTATGAGCAGTTTTATTTGCTTTTTTCTTTTTGGAAAATAAATGGCCATGTTGACATTTTTAGATATTTTCTGGGGAAAATGCTGGTCTGATGGGTTGTATGCTATAAATCTCAAACTAATGCGACAATTTAAGGACATTTCATATAAAACTTTGAATTTGAAATAGAAGTTTTTTTCTTACTTTCCAAAGCACATTCTAACTGGTTTGAACGTAAGATACTGATTAGGATTAGGAAAAACAGAACATTAGCTGCTAATTCTGGGTAATAATGACAAGTATATTTGTTTAAGTTGCTGGGATATAAGAAAAATATTTTGGAAACAGTCACACTTTAAGAATCAGGGAAAAAATTATCGTATAAAAATTAATTGCAGCATGTAATTATATGTTTCAGTTGCATCTGAAAGCTTTGCCAATGGACAAAGTTACAGCATATCTGCGGAGGTTGGTTTGTTAACAGGTCGTAACATTAGAATAATTGGGGAAGAGTATGCTGATATAGAAAAAGAATCGTTTGGTGCACGTGTCATTGTTGGTGTTACTGCTGATGCTACAAGAACTTACACAGGTAAATTATATAGAATAATTACTCTAGTTCTACAAGAACTTACACAGGTAAATTATATAGAATAATTACTCTAATTCTACAAGAACTTACACAGGTTAATCATATCAAATATTTACTCTTAATCCTACAAGAACTTACACAGGTTAATCATATCAAATATTTACTCTTAATTCTACAAGAACTTACACAGGTAAATCATATCAAATATTTACTCTTAATTCTACAAGAACTTACACAGGTAAATCCTATCAAATATTTAATCTAGAATTTAATTCTACAAGAACTTTATACTGAATATTACTATGTTTCTACAACTGTATACAGATAAATAATACTAAATATTCACTTTTGAATTTTTTATAATCAATTGTTTTTTGACAATTCAGATATGTAACTATAGGATTTTTATTTTACCTGTGGAATTACAGATAAAACTATTCAGAAACTTTAGACTGCTGAGCCTGCTTTTTAACAAGAACATTTCCTTATTTTTTCTCCAGGATATGCCAGAATAGCAAATGTAGAATTTTATCGTGGTGCTCAAGAAGGGTTTACAGCACCTCATGATCCCCGACATGCCATTTCTTTCATGGACATAGGCACTTTGACAGACATTAAACCATGCTATGTGAAGAAGTCTAGCTTTAATTATGTATATGGTTCAGCTATTGGAGTGTATGGTGTACATGGTCTTGAGTTACAGGATAATGTCATCTATAGGACAGTAGGTCCAGGTGAGAAAAATTATTAGATTGTATATAACGTAATTTGCTGTGTAAAGTACACACTTTTTTACCCCAAAAATTTTAGTTGGTAAAGGAGATGCGTATTATACACAACTATAGACGTTTTTTTATTATTTTTTTTTATTTAATTTTTAATCATTTTTTTTCTTCATTATTTTATATATTCAAGACGTTTTTTTTGAATTTAAATGAAATCAGCAATTCAGGCATCTGTTGAAGTTATTTAAGGACTAATTCCTCATAACAGTAAGAAAATCAATAAAAAAGAAAATCAATATACTACTGATGTCATGAAATAGAAGTTCCTTCATGCTATAAGTTCCAAGTGGAAAAATATTCTTTAAGATTATTCCCATTGGAACAAAGATAGCAGTCTTTGTTCATTACGGAATAAAGGGTATAGAAAATGTGTTCCAACAGGAACAGATATTATGGGTTTGTTCATAGCAGAGTTTCCAGAGGAACTTCTATTAAGCAGAACAAATATTCGTTGACAGCGAATCTGAATACGTTAAATTATTTCAAAACGGTTGCACTGGTCATTCATGCTCTTGACGGACGCTGCTATGTTATAAAGCATATGGTTTTCTGCAAATTTGTACATTTCTTAACACTATAAAGTATAACAAAATAATACGGACTTGAAATCCTCTTACACAAGGAAACACATGACACATATTAATTCATTGTAAAATGTCGTCCAAGGTGTAAATTCTTTTTGAATATGAAAAAAGGAGATGTATGGTAAATTTATATGTTGAAAAGACAGCAAACAACATTAGGGAAAACCCCATAAGATATATAAAGGATTGATGTAGTCTTTTTCTAAATATTGTATAATTAAATCTATTGTTTGTAAGGTAATTAATTTGTACAATATATTAATTTTTTGAAACTTGAATATAAAGGTGATGCATGGTATATGTCAAGGAGACAGCAACCCAAAATTAAAGAAAAACTGATCATTGTGTATTAACTAGGGATACCATAAAATATTGGAGTATTGGAGTTTTCAAAATTCTATCCATTTTGTGACAGCACAAGAATCTTTTTCTATTAAAGCTTGGTTTTTGTTTTCTTAATATTCTGTTGCTAATATGTCATAAAATTGAGAATGGGAATGTGTCAAAGAGACAACAAAGAGCAGAAAACAGCATATTCAAGACTATTCAACTTATGATGCATTTTACATATGTGTGTATACTTCATAAAATGGATAAATAGCCCAGGTTTTCCAGTGAAAAAAAACATGTAAAAGTACGGTCAAAACAAATCCTTTCATTTTCATCTAAATATCAAAGCCATTTCAAATATATTTCACCAACTTAAAGAATATAAAAAAAATAATCAAAATAACGAACTAAAAAAAGATGTTAATAAATGATATTTTTTTTTTATACTTGTTTCATTAAGGTATTGAAACTAGGTCAACGGACACAAGAATAAGACGTAATTTGATGGCGCTTAGTCTATTTAGAGGATCATACAATGGAAGATATGAGAGCTTCAACCTTGATTACAAAGGCATGATAGAAGCTATTGGTGCTTCTGAACTTGTTATACAAGGCAATGCTATCTCATCATTTGAACGTGTAGGATTGCATAGTCAGGCAGAAGACTGTTCATCTACAACCGAGCCATGGACAGACAACACTATTCATACAGGGTTGATTGGTACAGCTGTTTTCCCTTCAGATACTTCAGATCCTGCGTTTGTCACAACCGATCGCTGTCTGCAGTTGGCCAACTTTACTGTGTGGAAATGTTGGGATTTTGGTCTATACTATAACAGGTAAATGTTTTTGTAAAACAAAACAAAAAACTTTTTGCTAATCAATTTTAAAGAACTTTGGCTAGTCATGTTTGCCATCTTAATTGCATTCTTTGAACTCTACTGGCTTTTTGGATTTGATAGCATTAAAGAATTTTGTAGAGTAACCCTTTATTTTATTTTCATAAATGATTAAATACATCTCAGTCTCCCTACAAAATCTTGTTAAATTTTTGTTGTATCACTAAGAATTCTTTAATGAAAACATCTCTCTACCAAATGTTTGAGGAATCAAGCAATTTTTTGTTTTCTGCAAAATATTTAAATGTTTTTAGCTCAAAATCAAATGCAAATTTTAACAAATATTTTTTTCTGGCTTAATATTACTTCTTTAGCAATTTTGTTTTGTACCTCAATATTTTGGAAGCTTGTTATTTTAAAACCGACATGTCACGGTCGCTTATAATTGCTAACATCCACTTCTTTTGAACTCTGATGAATAGTTTGTCTTATTGGCAATCATATCACATCTCCTTATTTTTATATGGGAACTTTTTCAATTACAGTTTATTTGATATAGTAGTGAAGAAGAATACTGTATTAGAAAATGGAGTGGGTATCTTCCCATTTGTTTATGGACCAAGCGCTGTGGATCATATTTTTGTGGACCATTACATGAAGATTGAAAACAATTTAGTGGTGGGACAGACTGCTGCTTTTGACTGCACAACAGATGTTATTGATACAAATGATGCTAATTTCAAAATTTCGGGCAAATTTGGCCGAGCATGGAGAGTGAATGGAAAAGGGAAAGTTGGGCTCAGTACTCCTAACTTCAGTCAGTCAGGCAATGCTGCAACTATTAAACCATTTTATAATCAAATGGCATATCAGTCCCTTGGAGGCAGAATGGAGGTTATAGGTCAGTAAAACTTTTTGGCAAAAGTATATTTGTTCTACATTTGACACTGGAAAAAAATCAAATGACAGGATTTATTGAAATTGTTTACAACCGAATTTTCATTTATTTAAAAAATTTATTTTGTAACAGATTTTTATCCTTTGATTGACACTGAAAAAGGATTTATTGAAATTTTTTAAACAAGAATTTTCATTTGCCTTAAACTTTATTTGATAACAAATTTTTATTTAAATTGATTTAACCTATTGAAGTGTTAATGGTTGGAGAAAATAAAATAGTTTTCTTTATGAAGATTTTAGTTAGTGAACAAATTCAAATGGCAGGATTTATTTGAATTGTTGAAAACAAACTTTCATTTGTCTAAAAAACAAATTTGTGACATTTTTTTAAAAAAAATTTTCTCCTGTTGTCATAGTAATGGCTGAAGAAAATAATGTTATTATTTTCTTTATGAAGATTATACCACGATATGGTTATAAATGATAAATTTTTCAAGATGCATACAAAATTTTAAATTGAAAAATTGAGGATTGGCATTTTTCAGATATGAATATTGTTTTTTATGTTGACAGCTGTCACTGCCACCTTTGAACTATTAATTATTCCTTTTACTTTTGAATCAGTATGATCATTAATGGCAAAACTTCACAAATAATGTTTTGAAAAGAAACTACCAATGAACAATAATAACACAACAGGTTTTTTTTACAAATGATAATTATGAAATATTATAAACATACAAGGGTAGATTTATATGTAATAGATTAATACTTCTAAGTTCTATCAGACTTTTACATATTTTGTTCTGTTGCATTCAGTTTTAAGAATGACTAGTAAAGTGTTGATATTTTGTAGATACTACCTTCGCTAATTTTAAGAGTACCTGTGGACAAGATACAGCTGTAGCTACTAACCCTATGATGCATGATGCTATTCTCCCGATGCTCATGTCTAGATCTTCAATGTACAATGTTGACAACAAATTGTACATGGACAGGCCAAATGTCGGGTAATTGATAGACTGATATTTTTAATGGTTACAAAGTAATACATTATTTTTTAATGTTATTCATGTAAGAAATGTCTTTTTTTTTTAACATATTAAAATCGTTAATCATTTCGAAGCTGGTGCTAGGTAAATCAGTCATTTTAAATCAATACTTTTGACCCTTTTGTTTAAAACTTACAAAATTGCATTCATTTATAAATATACTAGAAGATGCCCGCGAAATCGCAGTACAATTGGGCAAGTGTTGAAACAAAGAGTGTCAAGGGTGCCTGTGTTTACACATAAAAAGGGGGGAGGGGCCCGGACGTCGGTTGCCTGTGTTTACACATAAAAAGGGGGGAGGGGTCTGAACGTCGGGTGCCTGTGTATAATGTCGTTTAATTTAGCAAAATGATGCACTTACAATACAATACAGGATCCTTATCTGCCAACTGTCCTATCTTCTATTCTTTCTTCTTACTTTCACTTGGATTTCGTGGGCAGTACGTCAACTGAGCATGCAAGAAAGCATATAAGACAAAGATCGATAACGGTCTCCAAATTTGGATATTTTCTTAAAAATTGGCGTTTTCTGTGGAAAAAAGATTGTTTCAAAGACAAATTTAGGAAGTACAAAATACTACATTTATACGTCATATCACAAATACTTCCGACTTTGTATGGTTTCAGAGGAGTTGCGGCTCAATGAAATCAGTCTCATCCTTTAGTAGTATAGATTCAAAATTGTATCTAAAGTTAAATGTTAAGGATGTGGTGTTTAGCAAATGAAGAGGAAGGTCAGTCATAATCTGGGACTAAAAACCCATTGACATGACCTCTGAAGATTGCCGATGGGCACGTGGCTCTGATATGAATTTTAATATAAATAGACATACATGTATTAAGAGATGTGCAATGGTATGATGGAGAATTTCCTACTTCTGTTTGATTTTATATCCTAGATAAAAATGATAATGTGAATCATCATTTTACCTGTTTAAGCATGATCTTTTTTTGCAGGCCAAATCAGTCAGCAAAATGGGTCTTCCTGCAGGCTTTTCCACTTTCACTTTTTTAAATGAAATTCTTTTCAGTAACCTAACATGCTAAACACATACACATTCAATTTCCAGCTGAGGTCACATGCATATGAATCCAACTAAGGTCAAATTAATGTCTTGCTTGACAATGAAGTATCGAGGAAGTTTTTGAACTTATTTGGAAAAAATTGAACCAAACTGACTGCTAATAGCGATTCATTATTCATTATTTTGTTCATGTAAATGTTTAAAATAAGAATTAAAACGCTTTGCAACTTATACTGAAAGTAAGGACCTAGTAAGCTGTAAAATTTATGTTATTCCTTTTAGTGATACATATGAATTATTGGAATAATTCTTTGTTTACAGCAAAGCTAACCCTTCTGATTGTGTAGATATGACTTGTGATGGACATAGGAAAGCCCTGATTAAGGATTCTGATGGTTCATTCCTTGGTGCCGCAGGAGATGCCCTTTCACAGGCAGAATATCAGTGGGATGGAGATGCACGATATGGACTTGGAGACTATCGTATTCCTAAACCTATGCTCACTTATCCTGATGGGACCAGAGGAGATTATGATGTTATTGCCAAATATAAGGGTATATTTTTTATCAATCTCTTTGTTGAATGTTTTCAAGTCGTTTATTTCATTATTTAACAATCAGACAATTAAAAAATTAAATAAACATCAAGTTTGTTGTATTTTAGAATATGTAATACAAAAATTCTACTGTATATGGATGTGAGTTTTTGCTTAATATTAGTTTATTGAGGGGAGTTATCTGTTGAAGAGGCAAGAATTTATAAATAACATTTTATATAATGAAATTTTGTAACTTTTATTCAGTCTTAATTTGTTTTTTTTTCTATTGTTGATCTAGGTATAATTGGTGACGATACATGTACATGTTATTATTTGTTGTTGTTCTAGGTATAATTGGTGACGATACATGTACATGTTATTGTTTATTGTTGTTCTAGGTATAATTGGTGACGATACGTGTACATGTTATTGTTTATTGTTGTTCTAGGTATAATTGGTGACGATACGTGTACATGTTATTGTTTTTTGTTGTTCTAGGTATAATTGGTGACGATACGTGTACATGTTATTGTTTATTGTTGTTCTAGGTATAATTGGTGACGATACGTGTACATGTTATTGTTTATTGTTGTTATAGGTATACGTGTACATGTTATTGTTTATTGTTGTTATAGGTATAATTGGTGACGATACGTGTACATGTTATTGTTTATTGTTGTTATAGGTATAATTGGTGACGATACATGTACATGTTATTGTTTATTGTTGTTCTAGGTATAATTGGTGACGATACATGTACATGTTATTGTTTATTGTTGTTCTAGGTATAATTCGTGATGATACATGTCAATATAAAGCAGAATCACAGGCATACGTATGCACTGGATACAACTATGAACAAATTGTAATAGAGAATATGGATGCAGACACAGAAGACAGACGATTGTCACCTGTAGGTGTCCTTGGCTGGAATGATAATGGGGATGGCTTTATGGATCTGATTAATGGACCTCAGGATCACGGATGGTGTTCAGGTTATACCTGTCAGAAACGTCTGTCTACCTTCACTTCTGTCATGGCAACAGGTATTGTTTTATACATTGACCATTGTTGATTTTATACTCAAATGATGTTATAAGTAGAGAAATACTCTTCATATTAAAAAAATTATAATGTTTCTGGTTTAACACAGGGCTTCCAAAAAATATTAGAGCCAGCCGGACAATTTTTTTGGTCTTATCCCGATTAAACCCTTAAGACTTAGTAACAAAAGGTACCCATAGTAATCAGTTGGGCATCATATGAATTATGATTGACACAAAAACGGTATTTGACTTGATTTTTAATATAAATTTGATGTTCTTGGGCTAACTGTTAAATTGACAGTGCACCATTCGAAGTGTGCAACATCAGCGTATTAATATCTGTCTAAGACTCTTTATTAGTGCAAAATTACGCTGTCAATAACTTCACTTTCGTTTTTAAAAAGTACTTTTCCTATTACCGGATGTTGACTTGACAATGGTAAAACACGGACCAGATACGGATACGTAAAAACCGTGTACGTTTACAAAGCAAGATTGAGTTTAAGTAGCTTTTTCCGCGTTATTTCTACAGGATAAGACTCGAAATGAACGTTAGATATAGGTATCAATGATATTTTTAGCATTTTTGAAAATTCGGATGCATAATTTATCTCACACCTGCGCACATGCGAACGAGTGTACTAGTTCAAACAATGTGGTTCTGATGATTTTTCACTTAGAACCTTTATTACTACCTTTTTAAATTTTCATCAAATCAAATTTATATACGTTTTCTGGTAATCTGAAATTTAAGAAAATAACTTTTAATACTAGACCGATCAATGTCCGGTACAAAATAGTTTACCTGTCGCCTGAACAGGTAAAATCAGCTGTCAGAGAACTAATTAACCTTGATTGTAATGAGAGGGTATTATAGTAGGGTTTGTTTTGATAGTTATTATTAATCACGTCACTTATATGACTGGAAATGTGTGGCTGTTTAAGGCAAAAGGTCAGGTCAAAAAGATCGCATAAACTTCAATTTTTTTTCTGAACTATATTAAAATGTCCGTTTCAGCCTTGGCACAACAAGTCATTTATATAATTTATCAGACTTGTCCGGAAAATATGACCGTTTTGGAAGCCCTGGTTTAACATTTGTTTTCTCATTGTACCTATAAAATAATTGCACAGAATGATTCCTTTGAAAAACCAAATTGTTTATAGTAAATTACATATCATATTTGTAAACAAATGAATACCAATGAGTATGCTCAGTCTGTGACTATCAAAATGCAAAATCTATGTTTTATGAAGATGGATAATATAGCAGTATTCATAAAATGTTCCAAATTATTTTCATTATTGACATTGTTTCAAAATGTTAATTGAGGGTAATGCCATGTGAAGTATATATTTTACTTATATTATATTATATTAGTAATGGGTTTGTTTTCAAAATAGAATTGCATTGTGGACACAAATGGCATTTTACCTGTTTTAAAGTCACTTGATATACAAATAAATCTCTTTCATTGCCAAGATTAAACAAGTTCATTTTATTCAATAAGTCATGGTTTTTGAAGATCACATATCTTGCATTTACAATTTTACATAGATAATCCTATCATAAGTTCTACAGAGTTTTTCAAGACTTACAAAATACTGTTTGCAAGATTTGTTTTGGTCAAAATGTGATGATAAATTACCGTAATACTAAATAATCCTATATCTGTCAGTTGTCAGGGTGATTACAATTTCTATTAACATATCATAATTATCTGTTCTTCAGTACAATATTGAAGTGAACACATTGTAATTCTAGTGTAAATTTCACCTGTCCTTATTAATGCCTATATTTCACAGGTCGTAACTATAGTGTATATTTCACAAGTACATCACCACAACATCTGAGATACAGGATGTTAAATTCAGACAATTCCAAGGCTGTAGGCATAGCAACATATTACAATGTTCCAAACCGTTTGGATATTTATTGTGATGGTACATATGTCTTACCATCAAATGGTTACAAAGATAGTGAAGACAGAGTGTTACTCAATGCTCCAACAACTTGGGATGAGTTTATACCAGACCCTGCAACTGATGCCTGCGGAACAAACTATCTGGACTATGATTGGAAACACCAACACATTATTTTGAGGGGAGCTGGTGTTGTAGATATAAAGATTAATCCTGTCATTGTTCTAGGATTCAATGTGCCATCTTTGACTGTCGATCAGTTTTTCGGGGATGATCTTGTAAACAACTTGGCTCTATTTTTGAAGGTTCCAGCAAGTAAAATCCGTGTGATGAATGTTGTTACAGGGGCAGATAAGCGACGTCGTAGGAGGAGATCAACAGGACCAAATACAGTGTATACTGTAGAAATCGGCAATCAGCCATGCTCCGATATAAACTGTACATCTACAACTGTTAGTACACTGACATTCAGTGACTTACAACAACTGGCAGTCACAATTATTAATAGCTATCAGGTATATATACATAGATATATGTGTGTGGCTACCTTTCAAAAGTATTGTCCTTTCTTAGGATACACAATGTTTATATCAACATATATTTTGATAGGTTTAGACCTAACAAAATACCAGTTTATCATCTCTTAAAGAACTGAATACATTTTCTAGTTAATTAAATTATCAATTAAAGTGGGAAAAATAAAATGTAGAAAATACCAAAGAGAATATAGTTTGAAACAATTGAATAGGTTCTTTTTATTGAGACCGTTTCAACTTTATTGAAACATCTTCTCATGCATGCAGCTTATGATATTGTTGTAACACATAATTATTTACATTATGTTTTAGTCTGGTAACTTGTCCGACATCCTTAACATTACAATAAATGGAGTATCAGTAGCGGAGGCCATGCCACCTGTCACAGATCCTACATGGGCTGATGTGGTCGAGGCCGGAGACGATTATGTCTCTGTGCTCAAGATACCACACACTTTACATATGAAGGAGCATGCCCAACCGGCATCAGAAGGAAATCCATTCAGTGTACAACCTAAACTTCATATGCTGGATGTTATTGTAAGTCATATTTTGATGTGATAGATATACTGTTAAAGTTTGTTTAGGAATTGTGCAGAAGGCACCATTATAGACACATTCCAATGTTCAAACTTATAAGAAAGAAAGTACAAAAAAAATGTAGTAAAAAATGAATACTATTGATAATGGGAAATAGTAAAAAGTGTGTTAGGGACTGCCTTTTCTTATATTGAATTAATTAAACATCTATAGAGGGAATATTTTTCCTCATTCTTTATAAACATTTAATGCAAATTAAATGGTCAACACCATTACTTTATGGGGCCATATTACGCTACTTACTGACAGTATAAAGGCCATATACCATCAGATCAGGTCCCACACTCACAACATTTTACTATTGTTGTAATGCCTTGCATACTCCACAGCTGTAAGTCAATACATAACTAATGGTATATACATTATATGTATAAATCAAGAACTTTGTGTGATGTAACTCAAAATTCTGAATGTAACTTTTAAAAAATTTATACCAAAAACTGTATCGAGAATTGAAAATGGTTTTTGCCAGAATATTTTATTATGAATATAATATTTGGTAATTTAAACTAAGATGCTATTAACATAAAGAAATAAAACCTTGGCTTAATAGATAGCATCAAAGGAACCCAGCTGTCAATCTCTTAATCAATTTGTATTTCATATTCAGGAATATATATACTATAGACTATTCTTTCAATAATTCAAACATTTTTTACAGTACTTAAATTATTTTCTTATACTTCACGGACATTTTCCAATTGGTCAATGAAATCTTTGGTCAATTTACTTCAATGGTGTACATTATTGTAACAAATCATATTATTTATGTTTACAGGGAGATCAGATTACCCTTTTGGGAGCCTCAATAGCCCCATGGCAAGTCAGTGTATCATTAAAAGCAGGAAGTGGCAGCAATCCCAGTGCAGTACTGTCAGGAACAACCAATATTTCCTTCGTGAGCGGTTGGGCTAATTTCACTGATTTGATGCTATCCCATGAAGGAAGTGGCTACATTTTGGAATTTACTCTCTCTTATCCAACCGATGTTGTATTCACTGTAGAATCTTCCCCACTGACTGTAACACAGAGAGGACTGAAAGCTGGAGTAGTTTTCAAGACAGGGAATATCTTCGCTAATGACCTTACCACTGTTACGCTGGACATTAAAGATAGCACAACTAATACTGTTGTAACGGATATTGATTGGAAGGTAAATATTTCTCTTCTTCTACATGTTGTTCTTACATCTTCTTTTGGACTTTCTTTTCTTGTATATAATGGCCTTGATTTTAATTGGTAATTATTTAATCATTCTATACTAAAGTATTAACTAAAGAATCGTCAATATATATACTGTAAACCAACCAATTTTCATAAATGATGTGTAGTTATACTACTTTATTTTGGAGTAGATAAAAATCAAATAAATAAGAGACTTTGTGAATATGTCAAACTTAAATATTCCCTTATATACAACAAAAAGTTACAAAATCATGAAAATGAATTATAAAAAAGTTTGCTTTACTTATAAGGAGGTATACATAGATGTGTTGCTAGGTCACTCCTTTATTATGTCAACTATATGAATGGGGCAGAATTTCAAGAAGGGAATATATTCATGGTTCATAAGTTTTCATTTCCTGATATAATTTCTGTAAATACTGTGCCGATGCTCTATTTGTTTAATTAATATGAATTATTCTTTGTGGTAAACATCTTTATCTTCACCGACTGAGTTAGATAATCCATTTGCTTTTAATTAAGAAGTCACAGATTGTGTGTTTCATAGCTGAGAAATATGTCGATAGGTTATGATTTTGCTATGAAATAAATGTATTGTCATAATTTTGAAAAAACTTTTAATACACCCCATCCCCTTGGAAATAGTACAGAAACAACTACAACTCTTTGTATTTTAGGGTCACCGGTGGCAGGTAACAGCTTCAATGTCTTCACCAACATCTTTTGGCTATGGAGGTGCACTGGCGGGAACAACCATTGGATCATTTGATGCTGCTACTGGGCAAGTATCACTCAGTGACCTCCGATTTGATCAACCTGGAATGGCCGTCATTAAGTTTACGGTAGAATCTAAACCACCAGGATATTCATTTGAAGTAGAAGAGTTTATAGAGGTGATACCATCAGAGTATAATGACGTTGTCGAGGATACCACTAAAGAAATGAAACTGAAAGTCAATCAGGACTTTTCAACATTCGGAACGCAATCATTTGGAGCATCTGTTGTTAATGAATTCTTGACATCAAAGAGTTCCTACATTAGGGCTAAAGATATGGTTCTGTCAGAAGGTTAGTAGTCAATTTAAATCTAAGATGTGGAGTCGACTGCTGATTTGAGAATGAGGTACCAGATTTTATGTTAATCTTTTAGAAATATTTCATTCTGCTAATAGTAATAACAAAAGTCAGTTGAACAAATTAACAAGTCAATCAAAAATATACTGACCATCTATTTATTTAAACAAGTATTATATAACAAGAGTATGTTTGAAAGGTTAAACTCTGAATAAGGAAAATCTGATAAAAATAGCATACATTTATCTTGCATTGAATATCTTTGTGTACAGGTTTAACTGTTAGAAGGCACATTTTATAACTTTTTGATACATATATGTTGCGGCTGATCTTGAATTCAATTTTGAACAGCCTCTATTTATCAAATTTTATTTTTCATTCCTACTACTGTACAATTTTGTCAGGAATAGCCTGAATAAAAATATATATAGTAATACTGTGGATTCATTTGCTTTTCAATGGTATTAATTTTCGTTGATTAAGGACAAATTTATTTTCGTGGATGCTTGATTTGGTGGTTTAACCAAAATGTGCGTACAAGCCTAAATAAAATTCATGCTTTGATGAACATTTAAATTCTTGGTTAACCTACACCCACAAAATCTACTAAAAAAAAGTATCCAAGGAATGATAATGAATGCAGAGTATGTCAAGTCAAAAAGATATCAAATACTATAGAAGAAATAGATAAGGCAGGTGACTGACCTTGTATAGGTTCACCTGTCATTCTCACCTGAAGAGCTAATGTAGACTAAGGTTACAATCACAAATTTTCTAGATTTTATTATATTAAGCAAAGAAAATCAAGGTAGTCTTATTGATACATCCCTGTCTCTCCAAAGATTTACCTTTCATAAAATATTAAGTTGAAAATTTGTGAACAAATTTTGTAACTTATCTATGGTAGATTAAAAATTACTCAAAACTTAGTTTCCTATCTTTAAATAAGTCTGAACAAAAAAAAGGATGAACTAAACTTTTTTGAGGTTCCAACATGACCTATACCGTAAAAGTTCATAGTTATTTTCGTGATTTCAATGCATAAATCTTTCGTTCTGGTGTTTTTTAAGTTTGCGCATCAACGGTAGTTTGCACTTCATATCAATATTGATACTTTCTACAAACCTTTTCTCAATGGGATATTTTTGCGCATTTTATGTGATCATGGAATAAGAGAAAAAATCCCTGCACAGGAATTTCCATGTTTACAGTATGCAACTAATTGTGAATGTTTATAATTACCAGGTACAGGTTGATATTATACAATTCTATGTAAGATAATGATAACCACTGCATGTTTTTCCCCCGATTACAGTTTGTAATTTAAGGTGACTGTTATTTCATATTGATATGATGTAATTTTTATGTAAGTTAACACAGAGATATATAAATGTAACACTTTGTTTTTTAGGAAGTGTTGTTATAACTGTTACTGTGACTGGTAATACTACAACTGTACAGTCTATTATTGATGATGCATGCACTTCAATCTCTGCTGGAAATACGTTCACATACAATGGTCAGACTTTCACCCTATCTACATACTTGACCATAGATAATGTACAATACTATGGTGTCAACTGTGGAGAAACTGTAAGTAACAGTAGAAGCTGAAGTTGTTTGCAACTGGTCCAATCAATTATAATGAACATGATCTACTAAACAAACATTGATGTTGTTATCAACATTACCTGGTTAAATCAGCTTTATCTGAGTGACTATGATTATATTAACCGAGATTCACTTGAGTGACTAAATTTCAACACCTGAAAATTTTTTTAGATGCTCTAGATATAATAAGACTGGAATTTATCACTTGCAAGAGAATTGGTTTCTGTTGTGAATTTAAGTGGTCATTATGCTTTTTTAGTCCAAATATAAAAGGTTGGGCAATGGAAGGGCAAAATGGTAAACTGTATGCTAGCATTTGATAAGGTAATACTAGATCTATTATCATAATTAACTAATAGATTTTCAAAGTAGCAGTGCACAGTTCAACATTGATAGATATGTTTCATGTGTACATAAACAATAGTTCTCAAAACAAGATACACCAAATGAGGTTTTGCTTTTTAAGTGTTACTGGTATGACACGAATGACTTGAAATTTTATTTTGATTTTAAAACCAAACATAAATTGACAGTATTTTGTGCTTGGAGTAAATGAGAAAATGATAGAAATTTTGTAATATTTTGTTTTATAGGATGACGATGATGATGCCAAACTTGGACTACTTATAGGAATTGTTGTGTGTGTTGTTATTATTATGGCTCTGCTGGCAGGATTTATATACTGGAGAGTAGTGGTTTATCCAAAGACCAAAACACACAGTAAGTCTCAAAATATTATTAATAGCGAAAAAATGATTCTACCCTTTTCCATAAATTTTCCTCAAATTTGATATCCCAAAAAGGATTAATAAATATAAATTCACCTGACATAATAAGAATGAATATGAAATAAAGCGGACATGAACATTTTTGGGTTTTTTTTCCTTGATTTGTTTAAAATATTACTTTAACTCCTTTTCTTAAAAACAGTCATATGTTTTTATGTGGTGTTAAGAAGGTAACAATCAATCAGTCAATAAATACCTGTTAGCACACTGACCTTGACATTGTGTGTTATATTACAGAACACCACAACTCCAACATAGAGTATGTTACTAAAGGAGGCGTGAGACAATACCATGTTAAACCCTATTGTCGAGGTATTAAGCCTTGTTTTGTGGTCATTCATATACCATGGTGGTTCAGAACACAGATCTTTGGGTCACATGACATTTAATTGTCTGTCTTCTTGTTTTTAGCTTTGTTTATAATTGTACAACACAGGTCAATGATATGCACATACAACACAGGTCAATGGTATGCACATGTGATGTTTATGTTTTTTATTGTGTATGAGGTATATATGCATGTGGTCGTTACATTACATATAAAAAAAGTGCAATCGCAGCATGTGTATCATCTAGTGGTATTCTTGGTCATACAGTATTCTATACACCTTGTTGCTATGAGAACTGTGTTTACGAGTAATTCTCATTTTTTAATTGGTCCTGGTTAGTTTTGAGTATTACCATCTTTTCCATAAGAAATATGTTTTTTTTACTTGTGAGTAAATATACTCTTTTGATACATGTATTCTCTGATACATAAGAGGTAAATAACATATGGTATGATTTCCATACATGATTGATTACAACGTTTGTCATTAAATTATTCGTTTTCGTAGGACGACAGTCTTTTGCTGTATCAGGTTTGTTATTTTGTGAATTCCTATTTATTAACAATCCCTGTGGTGTGATGTTTATTAATGATATGTATTTCATATTATTCTAATCAAACAGGATCTGACTTTATCCACTGAATTCCATACAAAATAAAATCTGTGTCATTTGGTCTTTGGTGGAGTGTTCTCTCATTGGCAATCACACCACATCTCCATATTTTTGTATTAACTGTCTTTAAATCAGATGTTTATCTTGTAAGTTATTTAAAACTATTGAGATATCCAATAAAAAGTTGCACAAACTCTTGCTCATAAGTCATTTAAAAAAGCTATAAATTTGGATGGACATTTTCAAAAAAATGAAATGAGGACTGTTTAAAAACTTCATAGAAAGATTATTAAAAAAATATTCAGCTTCCACAAAATGTAACCTTTGTAGAACAATTAAAAAGAATATTTTACAACAAAAGTTTTTGCATGCTTGAAACAGTAAAAGGTTTTAATATGAAATATAAGAAAACCTACAATGGTAGTTATCTCCCTTGAACATTGAATTTTGTGTAGACAAATTTTTTTTTTATGGATTCCGGAATAACAAACTTAAGTCAATTTACTTGATTTTATTACAATTGAGCTAACTTGATGAAATAATTGTGTGTTTCACAAATTGAATGAATTAAAATAGATTTTAAATATATAAAGATATAACAAAACATGAGATTAAAAGACATGTGTGCTCTTTCAAAGAAGCTTCTTAAAATACATCTTTTATTTCTTCTGAAAACATATTACTACATATGCTAAATAAACCTTTCCCAAGAGTGGGAATTAAATGGATATTGTAACCTGAACTATATATATTTTATAATTTAATCTGCAACTGAGTAAAATTTTAACCTTTTAGAAAATATGGCTCTAATAAGAACTGAAAAGCTTTCACTGCTCATGACTAATAATCTGTTTTAAGATAATGAGTTGCTGCTTGAAATTAACTTCTTTATTATAAATTAACCTATAAGTTTTGCTCTGACAGACTAGTCAGGTATTAAGCTGAGAACCAGAGCACTCCCCTATCCCAAATGAGAAATTTGTAATTCGATATTTAATTCACTTTCAAATACAAATGTATGTCAATATGTAATCACTTGGCCTGTTTCTTTGAAAGTCAGAACTGTGCATAGTATTTTGACTGTTTTTTGTAAGAAAAGATATCAGTGAAACAGCGTTAATACAACAACTTTTTTCAATTTGACCAAATAATTAGGATAATGAATAACTTCTATTGATAAAAGACTTATTGGAACAATTTTTGTTTCCAGAGACTATATTTTGAATCCTGCATCCCATCTTAATTAAACTTTCTATTCTCATCAGGTATGCTCCACATCATGGATAAGTTCCCCAATACATCAAAATCCAAAACAATTATACCTATACTATGAAAGTTTACTGTGTTATCACTGTCTGTTTGTCCATCAATCTGTCCCATTAAATTTCCATCATATTTTTATCAGAAACTACAAACCTCAACTTTCTGAAAAATGGTATCAAGTTTTATGTGAATGATGCATTTTCAGATGCATCACTCATCAACTTCCTGTTTACCTAATTCATATGTTTATTAACCCTGTATAAAGTTTTTGTCACGTTCTTCCCAGGAACTATCTATCAGAGCATCCTGAATTTAGTTTCAGGTTTCATGTGAGCATGCTATACTGTGTGATGCTTCTTCACATTCATTGCTCATCAAATTCCTGTTAACCAAATACTTAAGGCAGTTGTATCATTAGTAAGGTCACAGTTCATCTTGTGTGATTAATATATATTGGTGGTTATTCACTATTTACCTTGGATCACTGCTTACTTACTAACATATTTTAAACCAAAACAAAGTTGAAAGCTGACTTACCTAGACCTATAGGAAAGTTAAAAGAAAGTAAAGTTTTTATACATTTCCTTCCTACAAAGTTTGTTTTATCTGTGAAATGGGAAATGAAAATACAAATTCATGCTTTTTTTTTGTGTTTTTGCACACGTAATTGAATATTTATAATACATTTTGACAGAGTAAATAAAAGATTTTTATGTGAATTTATTAAGCAAAACTTTAACAGAAATATTTAGTGCTATTGCCCAACTAATGGTATTGATTTTGGTAATTTTATTTTGCTAATCGGTCTTTTCAAATGCGTGTAAATCAAAATATTTCATTGCAAGGTAACAATATCTTGTTCTAGAGGCCTAATTGTGTTTTTATTATTATTAATAGATGCTCTTATTCCAAAAGTACTTCATTGATCAGTGTATTTGCTAAGGCTTTGTTTAATTAATCAATTAAGTTTTTGATTTGCAAACTTGGATGTTTTTAGTTTTATAACTTTTATCAATTAATTTTTATAGGACTAAAGGATCCCAAATATCTCGGACAAGGTGGAAACCCCGAAGACATTTTGTGGCGTGAAAACACATTTACCAGCCTAAGAGAGAAGTCATGGCTACCACCAGAGTTCCAACCACCTAAATCTACTGTATTTAATGAATATCCAACCAAAACAACTGTCTTTGATGAAAAGAAGAAGAATGCTTTTACAGGACATGCATAAAACTATCACTCAGACAAAGAATCGGACAAAGAAGTTTTTATTTTTTTATTGTTTTTGTTTCTTATCATTGTTTTTCTTGTTGTTTAATAATATATTTACATATATATCAATGTAAATAACAAAATAGCACTCATTTTTGAAAATAAAGATAAGTTTGAAAGAAAATTTATGAATGAAAAATATATAAAAAAAAAAAAGGTTTTCTTTATTTCTGATAAAAAAGTGAAAACATGGTTTGCTTCTGTGAAAAAAAAAATAATATAAAGAATTAATGAGTGAATCACATGTTTTCCACATAATTTGAAATCCAAGAACATAGAATAAATCTCTAAACTTTACAAATCATGAGATTGAAGCAGATTTTATTATACTGATTGTATATTTTCCAGTTAGATGAGTATTATCCAAAGTAAATGTCCTTCTGAAGTATTTTACTTAAGTATTATTTAGACCCAGTTGTCTTATAAATAATAATTTTTATGAAGAAATAACCTTTGTGATAGATAATAAATATAGTTAGATGAAAATGCAGATATTTTGATTAGGACTAATATTTGTATTATTGTTGTTTTTTAAACCAATACCATTCCATTAAATCTTTTTTATGCTTAGTTATCTTACAAGTATCTTGATAAGAGTCCTATAAATTTGTTTTGTTTTGTTAAATTATGGGGCACATGATGACAGAATTTGTAAGGTCACTTTGCCAGTTCACCTTTTGTGAAGATTCACAATATTTGCTTTATATTAATGCATTACATCTTAGATTTAGAAGAAATAAATTAGGTTCATAAATCTCTAAAAGCAGAACATTTTTTTATTTCATTTCTATGATAAGACAGATAAAATAGAATTTAGCTCTTCATTCCTAATGCTGAATTTATGAATTGTTTAATGGAATGGTGTTAAACTGTAGGTTAGAAGTTCTTTATATGATGATCTGTGATAATAGACCAGGAAGATTTATACCAGAATAGGGCATTGTAATGATAGAGGTATTGGTCCATTCAATGGTCTTATTTTAAATTGTGATTTTGCACTTTTCTGTTATCTTTATACATTTTTACTGAAATTTGAATAAAAAAAATCTTGCTGAATTTTCATTTTTTGTATCAATTGGAACTAATTGTACACCAGTCCTAGCCAATGTGATATTATACCCCTGTTTTTTTAGAGGGTGATATATAGTGACAATGGGGTCCATCAAGTCATCCATCTGTTTTTTGGTTCATCTGTCTGTGTGTTCACCTGTCATCTGTCTGTTCCTCCTTCCATCCTTTTGTGATTCTTACTACAATGAGGTTGTTTTGCACCTCATATTTCATTACTTCATCTGAATGATTTATGAGGGTTTCCTTGGCATAAAATTGATACCAATTTTAAACACTACAGAACACATTATTAGCTACTCCCTAAACTCAAATCAGAAGTTAATTAAACTTTCTCAAAATCTTCACCATATAATTCCATTGTGCATCTCCTATTTGATCCTAAGTATTTTTTTGGGTTTTCCTTAGCAATTCACGAACTTTACAAGAGTCAAATTGTGGTGGGTGGTGGGCTTTTTTTGAACTTTGCTTGCAGTACCTCTAGTTAAATTGATATGATTCAAAGTTCTAACAGAAACTGGTAATAGACAAGACAATCTGAAAATCTTGGGTAGTATTCTTTGTATAAAGGATAAAATGTTCAAGTAAAGAACTCAGTTTTCTTCTTTGTGTTCAGTATAATTATAAGGAGCTAGTGGTATGATTGCCAATGAGACAACTGTCTACAAAATGCAACTAAAGGTTACCGTATGGCCTTCAACAATAAACAAAACCCGAACTGTATAGTCCGCCTTTGTAGACCAGATATGAATAGGGATTAAATTTTAATGTGTATTAGTTTGGAATTAACTATATTATAACTTGCCATTATCCCTGAAACTTACAGATAGATCGTACATATGAAGGAATAGTGCACCTGCTATTATGGACTTTTGGAGCAATTTCCCCGTATTTTTGAGAACTTGGGAACATGGTCATTTTGTAGCACTTTGATGATAATTCAGTGTTGACTGGGTTGAGAGAGTAAACTAGGATGGTTGCCAGAGATTAACATTTTGACAAGAATGCCGTCTCATTGGCATGAGCTATATAAACCTTTTGAAATCACATGCAAGTTTGAAAATTAAGAACTTGGATTTTTTTTTATAATGACAATAAATCTGAAAGTAAAATTAAAGAACTTTGCAAACAGCCAGTACGTGTGCACAATTAATGCAGATTGTATGTTGAAATATCAATAAAAACTGAACAAATGTGTTGTCAATAAAAAAGTACTTCATTTTTATGATATCATCTTCGGTGCATTTGTTGTTACAATTAATATGAGTCTTCGCAAAGAAGATTTTTTCATGACCTAGAACAAACAATTTGTAAAACACGTTGTCTTAGAGTGAAAATATTCTAATGAAAAGAATAATTTGAACAGTTTAAAATCATAGCAAATAGCATAATGTGTAGTAATGAAGTTTCATTTTTTGTACGTCTACATCGAAAGTGCAAATGGTGGTAACTGAGTTCAGAAACGTTTATTGGTTTCCACGTTTCCAAAAATGTTGAACAAATTCCAAGAGACAAACCCCATATGACAGCAACTTCCCAATAGAATTAAACAAAACGTTGGCACCTACTTGGTATACTTGGCTTTCGTTAATGGCTATTGTTTAAATCGGTACAAAAAAAAAATTAAATCTTTGCGGATCACAGATAACATTTCCATGAGCTTTGTAGTTTCTGCCAATAAGACCTTAATGTAAGCATGATAAGCTAAAAGTGGGCATTTTTTAAAGTAAGATTGTTTTAGGTATAAATAAAATCTTTTACTCTCACATATATATGTATAGTCTGCAAGTGTAACTAGCATCAGTTTATCTTCTTGTTCTACGGACACCAAAGAAATGTGCTCATTACGGTTAAATTCTAGAAAACATTTATCTTCATCTGAACATGGTTCATGTTTTGAATCAGAAGCGAAGTATGAAACGGCAACATATAACTCATTCATAATTTACAAACAGAAGAAGGTTTCTTTTTCCTTGAATACTATACTCCTTTTGTAAAGTTACTGCCTTCAGTCATCTTTGGCATTCTAAAAAGGAAATAAATTGACATCAGATTAAAAGAAGAATAATTTTATTTATTCTGTAACAAAAACGTATTGATTAACAATTAATTGGTCACGCTCCACCAATTTTGCCTATGTGACTATTGTCTCTTATTGTTACACTGTACCAAATCTTGTTAACACAATATTTTTTATAGAACAACGAAAAGCTGCAGAAGCTTCTAGAAGAATGATATTTACAGCATATTGGAAAATTAGAATTCCAAAACTTTCTTATTGGTCAGTAGAGACTCAGAGAAAAAAGAACCCATTCCAGTTTTGTGTATTATTCTATGCATATAACTTTTTTGGATTGAATATATAAATATTCATCAACAGATATATTATTCTTTGCATATTTACTAACTTTGAAAAATATCATCTTAGATTTAATAATTATAATTGATGGAAAACACTATGGTTGGAACTAATAACTATTAGATTTATCAAACTGTAAACTTTGAAATAAACATTATTCATTGGACATACCTTTATTATAAACCTGAAAACTCATTCAGACTTGCCGGAAATCAACAAACTATACAGAATATAGAATTAAAGATTTGTTATATCTGACTGTGAGTAAACTTTAAAAAATAAAAAAAAATATATTTTTGTTAAATTGTTGGATTTGCTCTTTTCCATTCGTTTGATGTGTTTGAGCTTTTAATTTTGCCATTTGATAAGGAAATTTCGTTTTGAATTTTCCTTGGAGTTCAGTATATTTGTTATTTAAATTTTTTATGTAACACTATTAAGTTAGACGAATACATATGCATCCGTTTCATCTCTTATTGGTTTATTTATAAATCCGCCTATTCTTCTTCCTTGTCTAGCCTTTGTATATTATATGCTTAAACGTGTTTTGATACAGAACGGCATTATAAAACTTTCAGATTAGTTTCACATCCTTATTATATCTTTTGGGCCTTGGTACTGGTTGTAGTTTGACCTTAAGGAAATTAGCACAGATAAGATACTATATATTTAGAGAGACATAAGGTCATATTTCTTATTGTTTTAGAGGTATTGAAATCTTTATTTTACAAGCATTTGTGTTAAAACCAATAAATTATGTTGTTGGTTATTTGTATAGCTGTTTGTATTGCAGTCGGTAAGATATCATAGTCCTTAGATTTTCTTAATATACTGAGACATTTTGTCAAGAAAATAAAACAAAACTTACTGTGTATACCATTGACAGTTAAACTTGCAAATTCTTCACACAAAGTGCAAAGAAGACGATTTGTTTTATATTTCGTTAAGACCATTTAAGGCTTTGATGCTCTTAATGATTTAAAGTATTACTGGTTTTACCGTTATCCAGTCAATGCCTGAGCTTTTATTTGTATACAGTAATCTGTAAAATTATGATTTTGTGTAAATTTTAGACGCGCGTTTTCAAAAAGACCCAATGCCAAATAAATACTGAGAAAATTGGTATTTCTTTTCTGTTATAAACAATGAAACTAAATTAGATTCCATCTTAAAATGTTGAATTAGTATAAAAGAACACTTGATAGAAAAAAAATACCAGCATTTACTTTGATACCGTTGATTCTTTTACAGTTGATTCTGCTAATGATGCTGTTGCATTCACAAAAGGTCTTGCTTCACATGCACACTTGACAAAAGGCGAAATCATAACGTTCGACAAAATTATTACAAATATCAACGCCGATTTCACAAGTGACGGAAAGTTTCAAATACAAATTCCGGGTATTTATTCTTTCCATTTCCATGCCCTCATCAGGAATGACGAGGAACTATTGCTGGACCTCTATAAAAACAAAGAATATATCGTATCAATATATGCTTATACCTTGAAAGATTGGTCGGATGCAGGCAACACAGTTGTCTTAGAACTACAAAAAGTCGTTGATAACTACGATAACTGGATTTATGGTGCTGATGATGAAATTTATACAACATTCAGTGGCGAACTTGTGTTTCCTGAAACGACAGGTAAAAAATTTACTTTAAAAATGATTTTATAAAAGAAGTGTTTATAATTTAAGTTTTTGATAAGAATAAAAAGAAAAGACAGAGAAACAATAAGAAAGCACGAGTCATAGAAGATGAGACAAAATCGTCACCAAAATGAAAAGACAAAAAGACAAACAAGAGCACAAATTATATCACAGAGAAAACTGAACACCAAGCGACAAAAACCCTCCTGAAACCGGGGATAAGCTCATGGCTACGTAAAGGTCAACAGTCCCACTAGCACCACTGGTGACTCTTGTAATACAGCTCGTAATATGCAAAAATCCGATTATAACTTGTATTCGATGATGTCATTAGCGATGAGAGAGGCTACAAAATCATTTCAAAGATACCAGGCTTATAATTTTGTACATTAGACACGCTTTTTGTCTACACCAGACTCATCAATGACGCTTGAATCTAAATAGTTGTTAACAAAAAAAAGGACAAATCAAGTTATCAATTGAAGATCATTCATGACCAACAAAGATATCGGTTGTCATCTTTGATAGATTTATTCTGTAACGGTCGACCAAGTCTTCATGCCGATCGTAAATTATTCGAACTTATCATTCAACTTTAAATAAAGAACCGCTGTTTGAAAAGCTTACTTTGAAGTAGCATTTCTTCAGTCTAGTTTTGATACAAAGTCTGATTTGTCCTTTTTTAGAACAAGATTTGTGTATCTACTTTTTGTCATTTTTTGTAAAACAAAGTTAAAATTAGGAATATTTGCGTAAAGGACGGATCAATTAAATGTTTATGCACTATGACAGAAGGAAAAGCACTTCGACTATACATACTTTAACAAAGCTTTTGACTAAGATTATGTCATACCTTGAATAGATAGTTTCACAACTTAAGCGAAGCCTTGTTTTGATTGCTGATACATTATTGCTAGTGCATGGAAGTTTATTGTCCCACTAAACTTCCATACGCAGTAATATAAGATGTGTGTATT